TTACTTGTGGCTCAGCTTCTGCAGCCCAGACCATGAGATGGCGAAGCACGCGCCTAAACTCGCTGTCATGATGTAGAAGGGAATGTACCGGCCAAGTGGCCTTGGCAGCCCACTATCCATCTTAGAATAAGGGGCACCCTTTTCTCAGGCCGGAAACTTAAAAAAAGGTAACCTTGAACCCCCCCCCCCCCCCCAAAAAAAAAAAAGGGGAAAAAGGGCACCACTGGGCTACCAGGCGGCCCAAACTCTGCGCATGCCTGCAGCAGCTGCGAGGCGACGATGGGCGAGACGGCGCGGCTCAGTGCACGGCCCGAATTCGCCCAGCCGTTGACCGTGGCGCGGTTCTGGCCCTCTAGGGAGCCTTAGTTATCCCCAGGAACCTGGGGGCACTAAAAGGTTAACCTCTGGGATTTTTGAGGGGGATTCTACTACTACTCCAAAAAGGTTGAGGGTTACCTACTCTACTACTAGGAACCTCTCAAGGCCCTAAACCCTAAACCCTAAACCCTAAACCCTAAACCCTAAACCCTAAACCCTAAACCCTAAACCCTAAACCCTAAACCCTAAACCCTAAACCTACTACTAGGGAGCGGTTCAGGAAGACGAAAACCGCCGAGAACATCAGGAACGTCCCGATCCCGGCCACGAAGTCGGCGAGGCCCAAGGCCACGTATCTCCAAAGGCCGTACTTCACCTAGGCCCAGGAGTTTAGGGTTTAGGGTTTAGGGGTTTAGGGTTTAGGGTTTAGGGTTTAGGGTTTAGGGTTTAGGGTTTAGGGTTTAGGGTTTAGGGTTTAGGGTTTATGTTTTAGGGTTTAGGGTTTAGGGTTTAGGGTTTAGGGTTTAGGGTTTAGGGTTTAGGGTTTAGGGTTTAGGGTTTAGGGTTTATCTCCAAAGGCCGTACTTCACCTAGACCCAGGTGCAAAAACGGTACCCTTTTTGGGTTTAAGGGAATTTACAAGGAACCCCTATATAACCCTAAAAACAGGAAGAAAAAAATGGGTCTTACACCGGGCCCTAGTCGCCGAGTCCGCAAAGAGGCCGTAGACCGGGTAGAGGCCGAAGGAGAGGCTGTTGAGCAGGAACCTCTACTCCCCCTTTTAGAACCTTAAAAAAAAGATATGTTCAGTATTCTCTTGGGCATTTATATAGACAAAAATCTATACTCCCCTTAGAACCTGAATATAAATATTATTTTTAATCTCCACTTTATAAACAAAAATTAGAAAAATTAGAAAATGATTCCAAGGAGGACCTAGGAACCCGAGCACGAGGACGTTCAGGGAGCCCAGCTTGAGTAGCTTCTGGAAGAAGGTCAGGTAACATGCCTAAGCTCACACCCCGTATGAAAAAATCTTACGAAATGATATTAGGGTTTAGGGTTTAGGGTTTAGGGTTTAGGGTTTAGGGGTTAGGGGTTAGGGTTTAGGGTTTAGGGATTCTTCATCTTATGAACATTTACGAAAGTCTCTTCAAGCAAAGGGAAAAATGGCCATTTCTCCAAAACATGGTTCTCCTGCGGGTCCTTCTTATAAGGCGGCCGACTCTGATGTAGGGTACATACAAAGGGACCATGTAATGTAGAGAACTCCTAAGCCCTAAGCCCTAAGCCCTAAACCCTAGACCCTAATAAACCCTAAACCCTAAACCCTAAACCCTAAACCCTAAACCCTAAACCCTAAACCCTAAACCCTGACCCTTTGACCAAAAAGATATCTTGCAAAGGGCCTCGATACGATGGGGCCGAGGGCGCCAGTGACTTGGACGATGGCGACTTGCTGGGGGCTGAACCCGAAACCGCCCGAAGATTCCGGGTATTGCCAGAGCAGAATGAACCTCTCCAGTGTTTCGGGCTTAGGGTTTAGGGTTTAGGGTTTAGGGCTTAGGGTTTAGGGTTTAGGGTTTCGGGTTTAGGGTTAGGGCTTAGGGTGGAAGTTTTTGCGTTGAAAGGTCATGACCCTTGAGGGGTGAAGCCCGGGCAAACGAGAGCCAACAGGGCACCGCAACAAGCAGGCACCGGCAATCCCCGGAGTGACCAAGAGAGAAGCTCGCAGGTGCTATCTGCGCTGGCCTCTTATGGACGGATCCAAGCACAATCAAAAACTGACTTCAAGAACGACCTCGGAACAAGGTGTTCTGCGCTTCCACCGCACCGGCAAGCCCACAGAACATGAGCATTGCCTGGAGGACGGTCCACGGATAGCACTTGGACCCCTTCTTTGCCAAGTCTGCCAACTCCACATCAGCTCCTGAGGTTTCCTCCTTTGGGGCTTCCTGGTCCTCTTGGGCCTCCTGGGCCTGCTGGGCCCGCGTGCGGCGCTTACTCTTGGGCAGCGTCTCCTCGAGGCAGAGGAAGCCGATGGCGCACACGACCGCCGTGACGGCGCCGAAGACCAGGTTTGGCAAGAGGACCGGGTAGTCCTCGAAGAGCGTCCCCCTGAAGACGCGCGGCGCCCAGCGCGCGGGGAAGGCCAGGCCACCCAAGAAGGGGCCCGCCATCAGGCCCAGGACGAAGCAGAGCACCAGGAAGCTGAAGGACCGGGCCTCGTTCGTCTTGTCCACCAGCTCACCCAAGTAGGTGCGCAGGATGGCCTGGTTTCCGCAGAAGAGGCCGTCCAGGGCACGGAACAGGAAGACCACCGTCCTCTACTCCCCCTTTTAGAACCTTAATAAAAAGTAATACTTGTTTCATATCCTCTTGGGTTTTACATAAACAAAAACCGAAAAAATAATTCCAAAGACAGAAACCAAAAAAAAAGTTCCCAAGGGGGATAGAGCATCAGGGATTGCCCAAGGCCCAGGAGGATGGGGCACACCGCCGTCCCGGCCAAGCCGATGAGGAGGCAAGGCCTGCGCCCCATGCAGTCGGCCACGATGCCCCATAAGGGTGAGAAGATGATCCTGGGTTTAGGGTTTAGGGTTTAGGGTTTAGGGTTTAGGGTTTAGGGTTTAGGGTTTAGGGTTTAGGACTATACTGAACTTGGAACCCTGGCAAAAATTGTAGGTTTAGCTGTTTCTTAGGAATTCAAGTACCCAAAACAAAAAATGAATTCCAAGTATCCCCAAGGATCTCGAAGAGGGAGTACAGGCCAATGAGCGACGCATAGGCTAAGCCCGCTTGGGGAGCCTCTGTCTCCTGGTTCAAGAACTTCGACACTAAGTCCAGTCCATACGGCATGATCATGGTCACGTTCATGCTGTCCACGAACCTCATCGCCCCGATCACGAGGAGCCTTCGCTTGAAGAGGCGCTTCGCTGCGGCCTCTTGGGCTTGCGAGTCCATGGCTCTGCGCGCGTCGGGCGCGGCCCAGGGCTGGCTTTGAGCTACTGGGGACAAGTGGCGCTGACCTGAGCCTGACGCGGACCGAGTCGTGCTCCACGAAGCCACAAGTATCGGATGATGCAAGCTGTTTGCGGCACAGTCCTGTGCAGGAAATACGACCCCACCCTGCAGGTGTCTTTGGAAACCAAGACCAACCTGTACGTACCCAGACCCCTGGGAGGATCCAAAAAGTAGAACCCCCACGTAGTACCCTGTACTACTATTGGGTCACTCCAGGGAACCCTTAAAGGGATCCTACTTTTTGGATCCTCCCAGGGGTCCCCACATTTGTTCAACCACTGCTCTCACAGCTAAGGCTTAGGCTGGAGAGCTGCGGAACCGATGAAGCAGGCCTTCACGCGGAATCATCCATCTGCACATCTCCAGATGTAATACATTCATATTTGCGTACTTATACGTATTCATATAACAATAGATATCAAGGTATGTACATGCATACATACATACATACATAGGTAGATAGACATCTATTTATATAGATATATAGGTATATAGTTGGTAGGGCACAAGAAGATGTCATCCATGCGGTACGTTTCCTTTTGGCCATCCTAGAAGTCAAGGAATCTACTGCCCACTGCAACGGCAGAGAAGTACGGAAATAAAACAAAAACGACAAACAAAAAGTCACCGGTAGACCGCAGTGTCCTTGCTGCCCGTTCTGTGAATCCTCCGCCTGCGACGACGCGGGCTGATTCTCGCAGCGCTCGCCTCGCAACGCTCGCGCTGGGCATCTTCCACGGCTAACTTTGGCCAGGGGCCCCAACGGCCGATATTCGTGCTGCTTGCACTTCAGGATGCTCGCACTGGGCAACTTCCATGGCCAGGTTTGCCCTGACGGCAAGATCGCGGCCCTGACAGCTGATTCTCAAGATGTTCGCGCTTCATGAGTCTCGCGTCCAGCAGCTTCCAGAGACCCTACCCCTAAACTTTAAACCCTAAACCCTAAACTTTAAGCCCTAGACCCTAAACCTTAAACCCTATAAACCCTAAACCCTACATCCCCACCGGACGGTCAGACCCTAAACCTAAAGCCGAAGCCCTGCGTCCGAACTGCACGGTCAAACCCTGAATCCTCATCAACCTCACAAATTTGTGATCATAAGACCATGTGGAAGAAAAGCCTGAAGGTTTAGAAGGTTGCCTGGGAAATCTACTTTTTCTCGTCACGAATCGAGCCGTGCCCCCCTACCGCTAGCCACACAGAAGCCCTCATCCTGGATCGCGAGTTGGGTTAGGGCTTAGGGTTTAGGGTTTACGGTTCTGGTGTAGGGTTTAGGTTTAGGGTTTAGGGTTTCGGGCTTACGAATTTTAACCCTAAACCCTACCCCCACCCTGAACAGAGTACGGGAGTCCCACCACACCCAGAACCCTCAAGGCACCTGTGGCCGCCAATTCCTTCTCCTCCTCCTCTGACGCCCAGTAGGACTTACGTCGCTGTCCTGGCATACTGAGATTCCACACCTACGAAATTTAGGGGTCAGGGGGTTAGGGGCACAGGGGTCCGCAACCAAAAACATGTAAGCCGCTGTCACGCTCACCCCCCCCCCCGCCCCCGGGTTTTGGAGACTGGGTTTAGGGGCAAAATCAGAACCAAGTGGGTAGCAAGAATAGAAGTCATTAATGGAGAGCGCTAGTGCAGTATTGTTCTTACTCACTTCCAACACTGGCCCAATCAGGCTCTTTAATATGAGGCCAATCAGGCTGATGCCGTTTGGCGTGTAAGCCCGGCTTTTGATCCCCAAATTCTCCCTGAGCTGTCTTTTGCCCATCGCTCTGACTCTAAACATTTATGCCTTGTGAGATGCAGGGCTTAGGGTTTAAGGTGCAGATCTATCTCTCTCCGCATCTATCTCTGATTTGTTGGCACGATGCCTCTGCCTACCTCAATCAAAAACACTTTGTACAAATTGGCGTGGCGGAAAATTGCTGGAATCTGGTCAGTTTATATATTAGAAGCAGGCTGCGCGAAGATCTCCTTGCTTGTGGGCGGGGTGCTCGGCACGTTGGTCCAGCCAGTGCAGGGCAGCGATCCGTGAATTCGCAGGGGACAAGCATGTGTAGGGAGCGATGGAGCGACAAACAAGCTCCTTTGCACCAGCAATCGGCTCAGGGATCCGACCAGCTAGGCCCAGAATCTCACTAGTACATGTCTAAGAGAAAAAACTCCAGAAAACCGTTTTTTCAACAAAACAAAGAATAATCCATTTTGGAAAGAGTTCACTATTCGAATAAAAACATCATCCAAATGAAAAAATGTCCCTCAATCTCAACTCCCCTCTTCTATATACACGTATGGTCAGGCCCCCCCCCCTGGATCTAGGTTTTTCTTAGTCCCTACAAAAGCCTCGTAAGTACCGATGAAAATGACACGCTGGGTATGCAAGGCGAAGTCCTGTTTCTGCACATCTAATCGTGTGTGAGAAAACCTGTGAATAGTGACCAGCGTGTGTGCTTAGCACTATTTACACGTCATCGCCTAGCACAACACCGAAAAATGCACAAAAATGCAATTTCGTGAACACGTGTGTGAATTATTTGGATAGACAAGCTTATAAACACAGAATTGTATGGCTTACGGGATCCCGGCGACCTTGGCGGCATGTTGGATGGGTTTCGGAAATGCCAAAACGCGCTACCATGTGCTACTCCAGCTTTGCACCGTCGCTTGGCCCAAGATGTCACATGGGAAAGCTGCCAACGTCGTATAGCAAGATTAGAGAGGGCTCAGGCGGGAGGATGAGTGACCACACCCTCGCATAGTAGCAACATGTAGTCGGCTGTAGCAACCATACAGCGTCAATTCGACTGCACGCCGGAAGCTGCACGAACTGCTGTTTAGTATGCGCCGACCGTGTGATGACGCAGGACGCCGCCTTCACGCTGAAGCGCAGCTAACAAAAGACTAGTCTCATTAGCGACAAGCCGATCTGGAGAGCCACCCAAAAGTGCTTGATTTGTTGGAGTTGGCGGGCAGGGGCTACATGGCGTAGGAGTGTAAATGACGCGAGCGCTTCCTGGGTCTGCGCTGCCCGCGACAGAAGTACACAATGAGAAGGATTTGGGGCCGACGCTTCGCTGCTGGGAGCTCGAAAGTCATCCTTAGCTCCTCCCCGCACGAGCGCAAGAGAGACGAAGCCCGCTTGCAAGTACGGGGAACCGAAGAAAAAACCATGGACCCGGCCCCCCCCTTGCATGCATAGTTATACATAGCGCGTGCCACGCTCACTGGTACGTCCTGGGCTGCAGCCAACGCGAGCTCCATGTCGCCCACGTTGGTAGCCTCCCTCAGCAAAGCCTGAACCGCGCCAGGCAGGACTTCTACACAGATCTTCTCGAGTTGTCGCAAGAAAGCCAATAAGGGGCACCGGGCAAATCAGGCAAGTATGAATCAGAAAATATAAAGGGAAAACAGAAAACAGGGCGGGTCAGATCGGAAAACAGGGCGGGTCAGATCAGAAAACAGGGCGGGTCAGATCAGAAAACAGGGCTTGTCGGATCAGAAAACAGCAAGGCACACAGCAGCAAGCAGCAAGGCAGATGTTAGTCAATGCGTCATGTGGCCTCACGCTGAGCCCTCTGCTCTGCCTTATGTTGCTTCTGACGCTGCCGCTCTTTGGCCTTGTTCCTTGCCTCAGATCGCTTGTGCAATTGTGCGCGTGGGACAGGCGGAGCAGTGGGCAGACCTGGACGCACCAAAACTATCCAAGGATAGTGTGCATCCCCATCTCTTGCGCGCAGGCCGAGAGCTTTCCAGGGGTCCGCGCCGAACTTCTCCTCGGAGCGGGACTTCTTCAAGATAATTCAGAATGATTGTCATGATGTGAGCTGAGGACTCGCCATTGTTGAGCATTTGGTAATCCTTGAAGCCGAAGGCGTCCAATGCCTCACCAATTTTTCCACAGGCTTGATTAAAATCTCCAGATAAAATCCTGGTTTTCTCTCGGGCAATGAGAGTCAGCAAACCGGAGAAAGCCTGCTTCATCACGTCTGGTTTCTTGGCGGCTGCATGGTGAACATGCACGGTGCAGACATTGACCTGCTTGAGACCAGCACGGGAAACCAGACGTCCGCCCTCGTAGCCAGATTCCGGATTCATGATCTGGGTAGCACGTGCACGTTCTGCTTCCGGGAGGGAAGCTGCAAAGTTAGCAAGCAACTTGGACTGCTTGGCAACACGCTCCTCGTCTGACTGTCTCAGCAGCTGCCAAGAAATGCGCCCAAAACCACCCACCGTGGCCCCGTCCTTGCGCAATCGCCTGGAGTGCGTCCAACCTCTTCTCCAGAAGCAGCACCTGACATGATACGACTAACTGTGGCCCTGCGCATGTAGTCCAAGTCGTGCGAAAAACTTAATTATGAGTGGGGCTAAGAAGAGGATATCTTGGGGGTGTGGCTTCTCAATTTTTGAGTCGATTTAAGTGGAATTACAAAAGGAGTCCAGATCAGGATTTCTTAGGGCGTGGTGTTTTAACACAAAGCTCAAACTTCATTCATTACGAAGCGGGGCCAGAGGAGAAGTTCACAGGGTGTGTTCTGTAAAAAAATCCAAAATAGGCAATAACCGATGAGGCTTAGAAGGTGGCGAATTAGATTCAATTACGAATGAGTTGAGGCTTAGAAGAGGATGTCTTGGATGTGGCATCTTAATGCAAAAAAATAAAAGTAATTGAGTTTAAGAAAAAACGCAGCCCAGATGAGGGTTTCTAAGGGTGTGTTTCTGAGGGTGTGGCCTAGCAACTCAACAGTCTAAGTGGACTTAATTATGAGTGGGGCTGAGAAGCGGATGTCTTGGGGTGTGGCTTCTCAATTTTGAAGTCTATTTAAGTGGTAATACAAACGGAGTCTAGATCAGGATTTCTTAGGGTGTGGCGTTGTAATACAACCTCGAATTTCATTTCATTACGAAGCGGGGCCAGAGGAGAATTTCATAGGGTGTGGTCTGTAATGAAATTCCAAATAGGCCATAACCAATGAGGCTTAGAAGAGGATGTTTTGGGGCGTGGCCTCTTAATATGTTTGTTTTACTTGGGTTTAATTGCGAACGAAGCTGTGGCTTTCTCACGCACACAGGTCTATTGACTTTCATTAGAAAGCCCCAGAAGAGGATTTCATGGGGTGTGGCTGCTAAGTAAATAGAACTGTAAGTACATTTAAATTCGAATGGGGGCTCAGAAGATGGTGTAAAGTGCTGTCCAAGAGTTACAGACGAACGAAGCCTAGATGAGAACTTCTTAGGGCGGGGGCTTCTTATCTATAAATATCAACTTCCTATGAGATTCTGTTACGAGGCCCCAGAATGGCGTGGCTTTTGAATACAAGCATCTAGGCAAACCGAAAATAAGTCTAACTACAAACGAAGCTCTGATGAGGACTTCTTGGGGCGTGGCTGCAAAATGCAGACTTCTATACCAGAAGGGGATTTCATAGGGTGTGGTCTGCATTCTAAATTCTAACTCGGTCTAATTGCGAGGAGGATGTCTTGGGCTGGCCTCTTAATATACACTTGCTTTACTTCGAAAAATTCGAAGCAGGACCGCAATGTGACCGCAATGCGTGACTTCGACCACACAGCAGATACACGGGCTTCGTGGTTGTTTTGTCAGAAGCACGAAGTCAGTGCTTCCTTGCTGGGATGGCCCTTAAAGCTCTCTGAAAAAGATTCCTAAGTCTGATCCCAAGAGTTTGAAAATATAGAAAAAACCCAAGGAGCCTACCTCGCTCCCTAAACTCTGACAAGGCACACTCTCCGACCGTGCCCCCACGAAACACCACTGGCCCTGTCATGAGACACACGAAACCAAGACTGCCCCTTCCAGGAACAGCAAACGCTCACAAGACACCACTCCGAATCCCTTCGCAACTGGTCCCTAAAGCCTTAGGTTTCAGTGGCATGGGACCTGCACTGCACGTTCACGAGAAAAGCCTTCTGGTTGCAGTAGGTCACTAGGTCGTCTTGTTTTTCGGGGTCCTAAACCCTAAACCCTAAACCCTTAACCGGGGTCAGCTTTGCAGTCAGAAGCATTGAACACAAAAGCTTCAAGAGAATCATGAGTTGGGATGTTCCCCCTTCTCCTCACAGTAGGTTTTAGGGTTTTTTGTTTAGGGTTTAGGGTTTAGGGTTTAGGGTTTAGGGTTCAGGGTTCAGGGTTTAGGGTTTAGGACTTAGGGCTTAGGGTTTAGGGTTTAGGGCTTAGGGTTTAGGGTTTAGGGTTTAGGGTTTAGGGTTACGAACAGTCCTTACGAGGGATTGTAGCACCCCCCCCCTGATAATCCCCATTAAGGACTATTAGTGCAAGGGGGAACATCCCAATCCATGAGCCTTAACTTTTGGTGGAAACCCTCAAAAAGTCAGAATCACATGTACTTACCTCGGGGTGTCCCCCCTTATACTAACAGGCCTTATTCGGGATTATAGTAGCTCCTAGTAGAATCCCTTATAAGGGCTGCTAGTATAAGGGTGAACATCCCAACATTTAAATTGAACCCAGCGTCTAGTTTCCATCAAAACCAGTCTGGCTGCATGTGTGTAGCCATTTACAGAATAATGGCGGCCATTCGAGAACTGTCCTTGTACATGTCGATGTTCCGTCTCCCCTGCGCACGAGAGCAACAACTATATGGACTCGGGCTGAGGGTTTGGGGTTTTGGGTCTAGGGTCACAGCAACTCTTGCAGCTTGGCTCCTTCACCCCCCCTCCCCCCCCCCCCAAAGAAAAAAACACACAAATAAACAAATAAACAAATACATAAATATATATATATATATAAGCTCCTCTTAAACCCCCTGAACCCTAACCCTAAACCATAAACCCTAGTCTCAAATTGAAACAATTTATACCGGATGCTCCCCTCGCCTGGACGATCCCCGGCTTGGGCTTGAGGGTTCAATTCTGGGGTCTCGAGGGTGTGAAGGTGGAGGATGCTGGGGTGTGGGGTTTAGGGTGTTTGGCGTCAGGGGTTTAGGGGTTTGGGGTTTAGGGTTTAGGGTTTAGGGTTTAGAGTTTAGGATTTAGGGTTTAGGGTTTAGGGTTTAGGGTTCAGGGTTTAGGGTTTAGGGTTTAGGGCTTAGGGTTTAGGGTTTAGGGTTTAGGGTGTTAGAGGGAGTTACAATTAACGCGCAAAGGCACCTGTGAAGCAGCACCAAGCCACCACGAAGCGCACGACCTTGAACCATGAGCTGCTTCATGAGGTTTAGGGTTTGTCACAAGATGCCACACATGTCGCAACAGCATCGTGGGGACGAGTCGCTTTGCTACACAGCGGTGGGAACAGCAGTCGTTGCAGCTGAGTATGGGGGGATGCTTGGAGGTTCATGGTACTTATTAACCACTTTAGGGTTTAGAGTTTAGGGTTTAGGGTTTAGGGCTCCTGGTACTAATTAACCAAGTATAACCGTACTTAGAGCTGTACTTAGAGCCATATTAGGGCAACTAAGGGGCTTAGAAGTGGGTCACGATTATACAGTTAACAGTACCATGAACCCTAAACCCTAAACCCTAAACCCTCATGAACCTCCAAGCATGCTTTCGGCTCGCTTGAAGCGCTCGCAGCTTCTCAAGCTCCGAAGGTTGGGTCAGGTGGGAGGTCGCATATAGAAAATAGGGGACCCCTAAACCCTAAACCCTAAACCTGAACCCTGAACCCTGAACCCTAAACCCTAAACCCTAAACCCTGAACCCTGAACCCTAAACCCTAAAGCCTAAACCTAAACTCTAAACCCTGAACCCTGAACCCTAAACCCTACACCCAAACCCTAACCCAAAACCCTCATAGAGTAGGAATACCGCCTCACAGAGCAGAGGAGCCGTCCGAGTGGGAACAAAAGTTTCAGCAGAAAAGGCGAAACCATCCGAAGAACATCTCAGCTCGGAGGGCGAGTGCCACAGAAACCCTAAACCCTGAAACCCTAAACCCTAAACCCTAAACAAAAAAACCCTAAACCCTCAACCCTAAACCCTAAACCCGAATTAAACCGCTTCGTTGACACACGGCGCGTTCTTTTTTGAGGGCGCTTCTTCACTCCGAAGAGACTAAGGTCAGGCCTCATGAGAGGAGTAACACTCACGGCAGCTTCTCGCAGCGTTTCTCGGACTGTTAGGGTTTAGGGTTTAGGGTTTAGGGTTTAGGGTTTAGGGTTTAGGGTTTAGGGTTTAGGGTTTAGGGTTTAGGGTTTAGGGTTTAGGGTTCTATGGTGGACAAACCCTAAACCCTGTTGTAGACGCTGGCGCTCTGTGTCGGCCTGCCTTCAAAGGCACCCCTAATCCCTTCCCCCTAATATTAAATACCCCCCCCCCCCCTAATACTGTAATCGAACTAAAAGGGGGGTTTTAATATTAGGGGGTAGCGGGGGTTTAATTTTTGGGGGAAGGGACTATGCACCCACAACCTGTCAAGTTGTGATTGGACGACGAGCTGGAACTGAGGCTCTCAGTGATGCGACACGCAGAGAAGGGTATTTCCCACATAATGTTGGGAAAACCCCAAAAAACTTTACAAATATTTTACAGGGTTGCGTGCATCTGCACCTTACTACACACAAGGGTTGTTTAAAACCCTTCGCCCGTTTTGCAGCTCGCGTGCTGTACACCAGCGTGCTGTACACCAACAAGCGCCCTTAGCACTATCTTGGTACTCAGACTGCAGCCAGCAATTTGTAAATGCTTTACACGCATCGTCTCGCCGGGAGCAGCCCGGTGGACGCAAGTTGTGAAAATTCACCATGGGAAGGATTCTGTCACCCGTGCCTGAGCTCGCCACAGCAGGCGACAATCGGACCCATCGTTGACAAAGGGCATGGCTTTGTGAAGGGTTTGCACGTTGTCCCAGATGATGACATCCCCTGGCCTGTACTGGTGAAAATACATCCACTGGGGGGAAAGGACGTGTTGGAACAGTGCCTGTGTTGTCTCCATATCTGGCCTGTGCTCTTGATCCTCGAAAACTGACAGCTCCGAACCCATGAGAAGCAATTCCCGCCCGTCACGAGGGTGTCGATGAAGCACTGGCACACGTTGGTCCGGATATCGTTCTGCATCTTCTGCGGTGAAGTCTCTCTTCATGTACTCCGCGTTGCGCCGCGCCGAGCTGAAGCAGCTTAGGCCTTCAGCCTGAGAACGCAAGGAGGGTGGGAGGGCCGCAGCGGCGGCCTTGGATGGCAGGATGTGCTGCTACTTCTTCAGAGCTTTTTTTTCATGGAGCCGATGGGGGGTTTCAACAAGAACAGGGGTACCCTTTTCGGGGGTCCCTTTTAAGGGGATTCTCTGCTATTTAGGGTAGAAAAGGTGTACCCCCTGCTTTTTGGGAAATGCCCAGATGTGATTTGCTGATATTTGTCACAGGCTGCGACCAGATCCACGAAGCCCGTGCCACCTCCCTGCCTCGGGATCTTGTCAGCGGAGAGCACGGTCAGGATGTGGCGTTCTCAGGGAGTTTAGGGTTTAGGGTTTAGGGTTTAGGGTTTAGGGTTTAGGGTTTAGGGTTTAGGGTTTAGGGTTTAGGGTTTAGGGTTTGGGGTTTGGGGTTTTTGAGTCATACGAAAACTCACAATAAACTCAACGTTGACACTCTGAGTTCGAGCTTCTGTGGTTTAGCGCATTTCAGACACAGACTTGGGGAGCCTGAATTGGGCTTCTGGAATCTATTGAGGAGACGGAGGCCAGAATTCAACCTACATGTGAACAAGGTCTCGCCCAAAATTCTGCAAGCGTACCCTTGAAGGGTCGCCGAGCTAGAGTCGTCCAGCTTTGTTTCTATCTTGGATGAGACCATGCTTGAAAAGGAGCTCCAAGTTCCCAACAGTTTGGGAGGCCAGTGACCGGGGGCCTTGAAAAGCTGTATTTGGGACTAGCCGTCCTTAACCAGGATTATAATGGGGGGGTACTCTATGTTCCCAATCAATGAGAAGGGCCTTCCGGCACCGCGGCCAGAAGGTTGAGGGGCGGAGGGAGGGGGGGGAGGGGTTTAGGGTTTAGGGTTTAGGGTTTAGGGTTAGGGTTTAGGGTTTAGGGTTTAAGATTTAGGGTTTAGGGTTTAGGGTTTAGGGTTTAGGGTTTAGGGCTTAGGGTTTAGGGTTTAGGGTTTAGGGCTTAGGGTCCGCAAACCCTGAACCCTAACCCCGGCGCCTGACATCCTCAGGTAGTCGCCATCTTGGTGCCAAACCTCGGCCCCTTGGTACCTCGAATCTTGGACTTCAAGCCTCTATGCTGTTTGGCGTTCTCAGGAGTTTAGGGTTTAGGGTTTAGGGTTTAGGCTTTAGGGTTAGGGCTTTGGGCTTTTGAGCTTTTGGGTACTTAGTCGAGGGCTTAGGGCTTCAGGGAAACATACTGCAATCAGCCGGGCCCCGTACAAAACTCAACCTATCATCATCATCATCATCATCATCATCATCATCATCATCATCATCATCATCATCATCATCATCACAATTTAAATGAAATGGAAGGTACACAAAATTCTTCAACCCCCCAAACCCTAAACCCTAAACCCTAAACCCTAAACCCTAAACCCTAAACCCTAAACCCTAAAGAAGGGCCCAGGGCACTTTGGACCCTTCCAGGTGCCGTCGGCACGAAAGTTCGACAGCCGGACAATCCTGGGATGGACCTCAAAGTACTCCGGGGCCTGGCCAACCACCTGGGCGGAGGGTTTAGGGTTGAGGGTTGAGGGCTGAGGGTTTAGGGTTGAGGGTTGAGGGTTTAGGGTTGAGGGTTGAGGGTTGAGGGTTGAGGGTTGAGGGTTGAGGGTTGAGGGTTGAGGGTTGAGGGTTGAGGGTTGAGGGTTGAGGGTTGAGGGTTGAGGGTTGAGGGTTGAGGGTTCTTTAGGGGTGTGGGGTTGAGGGTGCTGACCTCAGGGCAATTTATAGGGTCCTTAAGAGAGGGGGGCTCAAGGGGGGTAGGTACCTAGGGAATTTTAGGGAACCTTAGGGAGCCTTCGGGAGTAGTAGGGGGTAGGGAACCTTGGGTTACACCCCTTGAACCCTCGACCAGAACCCTATAAGCAAAGGTTGAACTGCGCAGAGGAAGCAGCTTAGGGGTGGGGCCTTAGAGGGCTTGGGGTGTGGGAGACATCGTGACATCGCACGGGCTCCTGGTTCAACAGGCCTAAAAAACCCTAAACCCTAAACCCTTATAAACCGTAAACACTAAACCCTAAACCCTAAACCCTAAACCCTACTTCAATTCCCCACCCCCCAAAAAACAAAAAAATGCAAGCGAGGAGCTGTTGCCGTGAGCTCCCCCAAACGCAAGGTGAAGGCCTCTTGCTCCTCGAGGCTCCAGGACTGCTTTGGGATCACGATCATCCCGTGCGCGCGAACGGCCTGGACCTAAGCCGGAAGGTTCAGGGTTTAGGGTTTAGGGTTTAGGGTTTAGGGTTTAGGGTTTAGGGTTTAGGGTTTAGGGTTTAGGGCAGTTTAGGGTTTATATAGGGTGTAGGGTTTAGGGTTTAGGGTTTAGGGTTTAGGGTTTAGGGTTTAGGGTTTAGGGTTTAGGGTTTAGGGTTTAGGGTTTAGGGTTTAGGGTTCCCCCCCCCCCCCCCCCCAAAAAAAAAATAGTACGGGGAACTGAAAGACGGTCTGGTCCTCTGAAAGGCCAGAAAGGGAAGGGAAAGCTTCAACATCCCAAAAAACTTGTCGAGAGACGAGCTTTCTGAGCTGGTCGTCGCTGATGTTGCGGAGATTCGCCTTGAAGGTTGCGCCCATGCGACCAGAGGGAGCCGATTTCATGGACTGCGCTCTCTGGAAGAGCCTAGTTCATGGTTGGCATACAAAAGTTTTGAAGCTCTATTCCTTGTTGGGTTTAAGTACCCGTAAAAAATATTTAAAAAAATGCTACCTAACTATGACAGAGGAGCGTGCACCAGAGCGACGTGATGGCCCCCAGATTCTTTGCGCCGTTCATGTGGTGGTCTTGGTGGTGCTTGGGTGTGATGATGAACCACAATGCTGGCGCCCGCCCAATCCAGTCGAAGGGTGGCAGGTTGTAGCCAGAATGAACCATGACCCCATACCTGGTTCATAGTTGGGATAGTAATAAACATGTAAAAATTTCTATTCTTATTGAGTGTTAGTACCCTTAAAAAGGTAAAATGTTATCCCACTATGACAAAGATACCAAGTGGAGAACATGAAGTACGCAAAGGCGACGCTGGGGCTCAGCTCGAGACAGCGAGACACCAGCACAACGCTGCCGTACTTGACCGCCGCGTTGCCCAGGGCCTCAACGGGATGCTCCACCTCGTTCGTCCACGGCCGCGTGACCTTGATGGAGTGGTGCAGCTTGTGATACCTGTACATGCCTGGCAGGTGCAAGATGCAGTGCCATGACGAGAGGCCGAAGTCGAGCAAGCACAGCATCAGCAGGAATCCGGCCACCGAACTCAAGAGGCCCCCTTCGCAGCTGAAGGAGAGCTTGCTCGTGCACCACACGCCTGCGAAGATGCACATGTCCAACCACCAACCTGCCAGCTTTGCTCGTATCTGCTTCATGGCATACTCGCGTGACTCCTTGGTGCTTGCGTGCTTGTGGCCAGGCGCAATCCTCCAGCGCTCGACGTCCGCGCTTAACACTTCAAAGGCAGCGTTGGTGGCGAGCCAGACCATGTCTGAAGCACAGATGCCACCTAAGACAAATGTCAAACCTGGAGGTGCTTGCAGAGCCTCGCAGGCCCTGGCAATGATGCTGAGCGTCACGCAGATGAGGCCGAGCGTGCCGGCCCACCACCATTGGCACATGGGAGGGGTCAGAGCAAGCATGTCGCACTACGCTGTTTTTTGTCGCAGTGGTCACAGTCACAGCAAGTGGAGCCAAAGCGCTCAAAACAAGCGCAAGTGTTGTGAGTTCTTCATGGGGGATTTCCGGGTTTCAGGGCTTCAGAGGCGACTTCTGCCACGTCTTGAGGCCCAGCGTGGCCCAGCCTGACAGGTGCTCGTCAAGAGACCGAGACTCTTTCATGCCTGGACTACTGGCAACACTCGACAACACAATAATACTGTAGTCATAGTGATACTCATGATAGTAGCAGAATACTAAGGTAGTACTCATAGTACTAGCAGAATGCTAAGGTAATACTCATAGTAGTAGCAGCAGCGGTAGTAGCAGCAAGCGCCATCGCCGTCGTGGTGCAGCACTGGGCTGCCTTTCACCAACCCGCCCCCCAACCAACCCCACAATGGGAGTGGAGCTTCCCGATCCCTAAACCCTTAAACCCTTAACCCTACACCCTAAACCCTAAACCCTAAACCCTACACCCTAAACCCTAAACCCTAAACCCTAAACCCTAAACCCTAAACCCAATCAGATGAGGTCTTGCTGCACAAGTCATCTCGCCCGACGTAGACGGCTCATTCGACGTGCGAAGTCGAGGCAGGTGCTGCGTCCCTTTTCGGTTCCCTTCTACACATGCAGGGTAGCTCCCGAAATAGGACCTGGGTTTTAAGAAGGAAGCCCCAATATGACGCCCCGTATTATCCGGGGATCCCGCCCGTCGTAAGCCACTTCATGAAGGGCAAGTGGGGCTCCACCGCCATCGTCTCCAAGCCAAGCGCTCCTCCAAGCGTTGGGGTTTCGGGATTTAGGGTACAGGGATGTACAGGGTTTAGAGGGTTTAGGGTTTCGGGTTTAGGCTTTGAGCTCAGATTGGTGTAGGGTTTAGGGGTTTAGGGCTTGGGGTCAGATGGGTCTAGGGTCGGTGGGATGGGAAGGCGTTGGTTCTTTGAGCTTTGGGAGGAGTTTGGGGTCGGGCTTTCGGGCCCTATAGCCCAATGGCCCGGAATGAGTACTTGATAGTACATGACAAAGGGAAGCCATTCCATTTGGTATCTTGGGGGGCATATGGGGGTTTGCGCAAATAGGGGACCCCCAATATAGACCCCTCAATAGTAGGATCCCCTTAAATATGGACCCCAAGAAAATACCCCCTGATATCGTAAACGACTTCTATCGGCTTCCTCTGAGATTTTGGGGATTTTGGGCCTACTTGTTGGAGGGCAAGGCAGTGCAGCGGGGAACGACCCCCCCAACGCCCCCCCCCCCCCCCCACCATCTGTTCCACGTCACGCGGAAGCGTTGGCTGCGCAGCTGGCAGGGCATCCGGCTTTCAGAGGCGAAGCCTCCACGCAGCCACAACTCTGTGGACAGAGCGAGGTCAGCGGCCGAAACAAGTCGGCGTCCCCGTCGCAATAGAGCGCGCGGAGGAAGAAATCCCTGGGAGCATCCACCAAAGCAGAACAGCCTTGCGACAGCATCGCTTGGATGGTCTGGTTGGCGGAGGCATAGGTCTGGAAGGACGTGATGTCCAGGCCCACGTAGTGCGAAATCGCCGTGGTGTACTGCGTCCAGAACCTGCGCCAGCTGGCATCCCAAGGCGGCACGTCTTGGCAACTGCGGTTTTGGAGCTTCGGCTGGCCAAAGCTGAGGCAGGCCGCTGGGCAGCCCTGTGCTTCCACCTTGAACCACGGAGACGCGAACCTCAGATCTCGGCGGCTCAAGGCCGATGTGAACCCTAAGCCCTAAACCCTAAACCCTAAACCCTAAACCCTAAACCCTAAACCCTAACCGACGTTAGGGGCTGAAGGGGAAGGGGGGTGGCCAACCCTAACCCAGGTTGAGGTTGGAGTGAACTGGAACCCGAGCCCTAACCTGGTATTGGGGTTCGAGCTCGACCCAAGCCCTAACCTGGTTAGGGTTCAGGTGAGCAGAAGGTGTTGAAAGCGGGCTGCGGGCTGCATTTTCACTGCTCATGTCCACCTACACAACTAGCAGAATCAGCGCTTTTTCTATGGCAAGGCTCAGAGGCCCAGAGGACTTTTGCTCCACACCCAATTAAGAAGCAAAGAACGGCACAAGAACAGACGACCCCCAGAAAGCCCGTACACAACTTTACAAGCGAGAAAACTGAGAAATACTGTCATGGCTCTAAGGGGCTTCTACGTAGCCTTCCCTTAGGCTCTCAGACACACATGGTACCATCAGACATCAAAAGTATACCACACTGCACAACCTCATGCCTGATCCCTGCGAACCCCACAGCCTGGAGCATCCGAAGCTCGTTTTTGAGATGCTGCGGCCCGGGGGACGGATCTGAGCATCCGCAGGTCTCGCCGCAGACGTAGCGCAGCAGGCGACCATTGGGAGACTCGCAGTGGTCCCTCATCTCCTGCATCTGCTTGGTATGGCTGGGTTTGGTTATGGTACGGCTAGCGGCTAGTGGCGGGGGAGCTTGCGGTGACTTGGGGTCCTCTGGCTCTACGGAACTTCAGGGCCTTTTCGGGGGTGCCAGAAGCGCCTCGCAGCTGGAGGAGGTGATCTGCAGGCTGGCCGCAGCATTGTTCAAATACCGGGCCGCGATCACCTGGGCCTCCAGATCCATGCTGAACAGGCCATTCGGGCGAAACGTCTCGGTCTCGAAACAGAAGGCGGAACCAGCGGCCTCGACTTTCATGGTGCGGGTGCTGTCGACCTCAAAGACGTTCCTGCTGCCGGAGAAGAAGATGTACTTGGGTCCCGAATGGTCAGGGGTTGTTTCGGGAGAGGTCGCCTTGTGAGCTTGCACGGCAAGCTCACTTGCAGTAAGATTCCTGTCGTCTTGGGAGAAAGTGGTCGTTAGCCCAATCGCACTCTGCATGGCCTCGTTGTACCGAACCACGAACGTCTGATTGCCGCCGCACAGCTCGTTCTTCACGGCGAGCATCGTATCACCAAGGGGAACCAGCAAAAACAAGTACGTGGAGATGATCAGCACGCCCAGCATCACGAAGTGCAGCAGCGACTCGCACTGACTTCTGCGGCGGCTGTGTCTGACTTGTGTCGGCTTCAAGTGCTGCATGGCATGGTGGATCTTGACCGGCGTCATACCAGCGAAGAGGAATTCATCAACGTCCAAAACGGCATTGAGGGCCACAGCGTTTAGCATGAGCTCCTCGATACTGATCGTTCGAGCCAGCCAAAGAATGCCAGCCACCAGCAACACAGAAGCGATGGCTACACGGACGAAGTAGATCATGAGAAGCAAGCTGAACCGGTACCAAGAAAGGCTCCGGAAGGCATAGTCGCAGAACTGCGAGCAGCGCGCCTTCGGGATTTGCAGTGTCGCTTCCAGCTGGAACCAGATCTTGCGAAACTCCTGTAACATGATACCCCTCCCCCAACTCCAGGTCCCTCACCAGGGGGCTTCGGGTTGGAAACGTCAAGGAAAGTTGGAGGAGAAGGCTCCGGGGGGCCCAAAGGGTCTTGGGGGGTTTAGGGTTTAGGGTTTAGGGTTTGGGGTTTAGGGTTTAGGGTTTAGGGTTTAGGGCTTAGGGCTTAGGGCTTAGGGGTTAGGGTTTAGGGTTTAGGGTTTAGGGTAGGGGGTTTAGGGTTTAGGGTTTAGGGTTTAGGGTTTAGGGTTTAGGGTTTAGGGTTTAGGGTTTAGGGTTTAGGGTTTAGGGTTTAGGGTTTAGGGTTTAGGGTTTAGGGTTTAGGGTTTAGGGGGCCCCGTCCTTGAAGACGCAGAGGCTCCAGAGCACGATGCAGAGGAGGCAGAGGAGGACCCCGGGCTGGAAGAGGGGGACCTCGAGCTGCGGCTTCTGCAAGCCCAGGAAGCTGTTGATGTGATAGATCCTCGGGGCTTCCCCTTTTTAAAAAAAGGGGAAACATTATAAAAATAAAAAAACTCAACAAAAAACAAAGCAACCCCCCCCCCCCCCCCCCACCCCCTCGGCTCAAAAGGGTTTAGGGCTTTTGTGGGGGAGTTTAGGGGTTTAGGGCTTACCCTAAAACCCTAAACCCCAAAACAGTGAAGAAAACTTCGGGCACCACCGGGCGTCCAAGGATCAGATTCGACTGGGGCGTGGACAGGATCAGGGCTCCGTCTCCCTGGCATACCCGGGAGACCAGGCTCGTGTCCTTCAACAGTCAGTCTACTTGGTGGTTCATGGGTTGCTTGTAAGTAGGGATAAAAAGGCATGCGGTAACTATGGTTATAGCCTGGTTTAGGGTACTTAGAACTCCACTTAAAAGTGCCCATGCAAAGTCTAGTCTAGGGCCTAGGGAGGGTTGGGAGGGGGTTAAGGGTTTAGGGGTTGAGGGGGTTTAGGCTTGGCGTTTGGGGTTTAGGGTTCGGGGTTAAGGGGTTTAGGCTTCAGGCATTAGGCTTCAGTCCTTCAAGTCCAGATACTTGGCGTCGTGCGCCACGCTGGTGCGCCAGACCCTGGCGTTGTCGATCTCGGTGTCAAAGGCCTCGCCCATGAAGCCGTCCGAGAGCAGCACGCAGGTGAAGGCAATCTGCATACAAATGTTGAGCAGGAGAAGCGTTGCGGTAAAGAACCGGTCGAAGCATCCGACATCGACAAGCCCGATCAGGAGGGGAAAGCTCCAGACGCTTTCCTCGAAATACACCTCGGTGGTCTCCTCTATCGGCGCGCCTGCCACGGGCTCATCACCCTGAGGCTGGGATGGCTGGGCCACTTTGCTGGTTTCAAAGGTTGCGCAAACCTCAAGCAGCTGAGGGTTCGCCTCCGGAACCCTCACGGCACCGAGCTGCTCCACAAGCTCCAGGCGCGCCTGGAGGCGCGCGAGGTCGGCCTGCATCTCCTGGCGGAAGATGGCCAAGCGGTCCTCCAGCTCAAGCTCCAGGGAGCGCGCACAAGCCGGGGACTGCATTGAGGGCGAGAGGCTGGGCATCGGCAATTTCCCCCCAGTGAAACCCTAAACCATGAACTTACCCTAAACCCTAAACCCTAAACCCTAAACCCTAAACCCTAAACCCTAAACCGGCGGATTGCTTTGGAACCCTGCCGGCTGCGGCTCCCGGCCTCCCTCCGTACAGCTTAGAACCGCCTCTGCCCTCTCAGGAAGCAACAGATGGGTGGTTGTCAAAATTATGATCCCTTTTGGGGTACCCTAAATATTTGGTGCCGTATTATCATAGGGACCCAAAAAGGGACCATAATTTTGACAACCACCCAGATATGTGCATGGTGGTCGAATTTCGAAAACCCCCTTTCTCAGCTGATTCTCTAAGAAGGCACCCTATTTTCAGAGGCTCCGCATTATGAAAGGAACCCCCAAAGAGGGACCGTAATTTCGAGAACCTCCCATTTCAAGCCCGCCATGGGTTTCAAGCCCCCGCGATCCAGCAACAGACCTCTCCAGCGTTTCGGGTTCTGATTGTCCCGGGTTGGCACTTAAGGTGCCTGGCTTCCTACATCCCAAGGACCGAAGAGCTTAAGGGCTGATGCACCACGAGCCCACTCGTTTGCGGAAACCTTGAACCCAGGAACTTCAACTCTTGCACTGAGCACCACCGCAACGGTCTTGTTCTTGTTTAGGGTTTGGAGGGTTCAGAGGGTCTAGGCTTTTGGGCTCAAGCAAAGGAACATGCACCCGTGTATGTAGTATGTCAAGGGGGCGTACTTATTAGGCTCTCTGAGGTTTGCGGACTTTGGTTGGTTTTGTGGCAAGCCTGAAGCACAAGATTGCCCAATGCTGCGTTCCTTTGCAGAGATCTGCACAGCCACGTAGGATTTACGCAGCGACACAGAGAGAGAGAGAGAGAGAGAGAGAGAGAGAGAGAACGGCAGCGGCATCATCGAATCCTTGGAAAGCCTTCGTACTCGTTGGGAAGGCAGTACTCGTTGGGAAGGCAGTCCTCTGAGATTGCGGCGGGACCGGCCAGAGACACCCCCGGACCCCCCCGCCCCCCCCCACCCCCCCCCCACCCCCCACCATCTGTTCCACGTCACGCGGAAGCGTTGGCTGCGCAGCTGGCGGGGCATCCGGTTTTCAGAGGCGACGCCGCCACGCAGCCACAACTCTGTGGACAGAGCGAGGTCAGCGGCCGAAACAAGTCGGCGTCCCCGTCGCAATAGAGCGCGCCGACGAAGAAATCCCTGGGAGCATCCACCAGGGCAGAACAGCCATGCGACAGCATCGCTTGGATGGTCTGGTTGGCGAAGACATAGGTCTGGAAGGACGTGATGTCCAGGCCCACGAAATGATTAATCGCGGGGGTGTACTGCATCCAGAACCTGCGCCAGCTGGCATCCGAAGGCGGCACGTCTTGGCAACTGCGGTTTTGGAGCTTCGGCTGGCCAAAGCTGAGGCAGGCCGATGCGCAGCCCTGTGCCTCCACCTTGAACCACGGAGACGCGAACCTCAGATCTCGGCGGCTTAGGGCCGATGTGAACCCTAAACCCTAAACCCTAAACCCTAAACCCGAAACCCTAAACCCGAAACCCTAAGCCCTAAACCCTAAGCCCTAAACCCTAAACCCTAGACCCTAAACCCTAAACCCTAAACCCTAAACCCTAAACCCTAAACCCTAAACCCTAACCCAAGTTGAAGGGAAGTCGAAGCTGCGGCCCGGGGGCGGGTCTGAGCATCCGCAGGTCTCGCCGCAGATGTAGCGCAGCAGGCGACCATTGGGAGACTCGCAGAGGTCCCTCATCTCCTGCAGGGAGCTTAGGCTAGCTGGGCTTTCTTTCCGGTATGGCTAGCGGCTAGTGTGGAATCGGAACTTCAGGGGATGCCAAAGGCTCCTCGCATCTGGAAGAAGTGATCTGCAGGCTGGCCGCAGCGTTGTTCAAATACCGGGCCGCGATCACCTGGACCTCCGGGTCCGCATTGAAGAGGCCGTTTGGGTGAAACGTCTCGGTCTCGAAGCAGAAGGCGCCCCCGGAGGCCTCGACTTTCATGGTGCGGGTGCTGTCGACCTCAAAGACGTTCTTGCTGCCGGAGAAGAAGATGTACTTGGGCCCCGAATGGTCAGGGGTTGTCTCGGGAGAGGTCGCCGTATGAGCTTGCACGGCAAGCTCGCTGACAGTAAGATTGCTGTCGTCTCGGGAGGGTGTGGTCGTGAGCCCATATGAAAGCTGTGTACCTTCGTTGTACCGAACCACGAACGTCTGATTGCCTCCGCACAGCTCGTTCTTCACGGCGAGCATCGTATCACCAAGGGGAACCAGCAAAAACAAGTACGTGGAGATGATCAGCACGCCCAGCATCACGAAGTGCAGCAGCGACTCGCACTGACTTCTGCGGCGGCTGTGTCTGACTTGTGTAGGCTTCAAGTGCTGCATGGCATGGTGGATCTTGACAGGCGTCATACCAGCGAAGAGGAACTCATCGACGTCCAAAACGGCATTGAGGGCCACAGCATTTAGCATGAGCTCCTCGATGCTGATCGTTCGGGCCAGCCAAAGAATGCCAGCAACAAGCAACACGGAAGCGATGGCTACACGGACGAAGTAGATCATGAGAAGCAGGCTGAACCGGTACCAAGAAAGGCTCCGGAAGGCATAGTCGCAGAACTGCGAGGAGCGCGCCTTCGGGATTTGCAGCGTCGCCTCGAGCTGGAGCCAGATCTTGCGAAACTCCTGCGACAGCGCAGCAGAACTTGCAACATCCCTTCGTGCCCCAAGCCCTTCGCAGATGTCCCCCGCATACCCCCTCCCCAACTCCAGGTCCCTTACCGAGGGGTTTATTTAGTTGGAAACTTCAAGGAAATTCTGGAGGAGGGGGCTCTGCCGATCTCTGCCGTCCTTGAAGACGCAGAGGCTCCAGAGCATGATGCAGAGGAGGCAGAGGAGGACGCCCGGCTGGAAGAGGGAGATCTCGAGCTGCGGCTTCTGCAGGCCCAGGAAGCTGTTGATGTGATAGATCCTCGGCTTCCCTTCTTAAAAAAGGGGACCCTAGAGACCCCCCTTCAATTTCACTTTCGAACTACAACTTCCCTCCTGCGCCCGCCCCCAAAAGGGCGCCACTGTAAACCCCAAACCCTAAACCCTAACCATAAACCCTAACCCTAAACCCTAAACCCTAAATCCTAAACCCTAAACCCTAAACCCTAAACCCTAAACCCTAAACCCTAAACCCTAAACCCTAGGTCCAGGATCAGAGTGGACTGGGTGGTGGACAGGATCAGGGCTCCGTCTCCCTGGCATACCCGGGAGACAAGGCTCCTGTCCTTCACACGGGTTAAGGTTTTTCCATACTAGGGGTTGAGGGGGTTTAGGGGGATTCAGGGGTTTGGGGGGTTTAGGGGGCTTAGGGGCTTGAGGGATTTAGGGGCGATTAGGGAGTTTGGGGTTTAGGGGGTTGAGGGGGCTAGGGTTCGGGGTTTAGGATTTAGGGTTGAGGGGCTTTAGGCTCCGAGCATTAGGCTGGTGTCCTTCAAGTCCAGATACTTGGCGTCGTGCGCCACGCTGGTGCGCCAGACCCTGGCGTTGTCGATCTCGGTGTCAAAGGCCTCGCCCATGAAGCCGTCCGAGAGCAGCACGCAGGTGAAGGCAATCTGCATACAAATGTTGAGCAGGAGAAGCGTTGCGGTAAAGAACCGGTCGAAGCATCCGACATCGACAAGCCCGATCAGGAGGGGAAAGCTCCAGACGCTTTCCTCAAAATACACCTCGGTGGTCTCCTCTATCGGCGCGCCTGCCACAGGCTCATCACCCTGAGGCTGGGATGGCTGGGCCACTTTGCTGGTTTCAAAGGTTGCGCAAACCTCAAGCAGCTGAGGGTTCGCCTCCGGAACCCTCACGGCACCGAGCTGCTCCACAAGCTCCAGGCGCGCCTGGAGGCGCGCGAGGTCGGCCTGCATCTCCTGGCGGAAGATGGCAAGGCGGTCCTCCAGCTCAAGCTCCAGGGAGCGCGCAAAAGCCGGGGACTGCATTGAGGGCGAGAGGCTCGGCATCGGCATTTTTCCCCCGAGTGAAACCCTAAACCCTGAACTTACCCTAAACCCTAACTCTAAACCCTAAACCCTAAACCCCCTCTTTTGGCGGCTTTCTTGGAACCCTGGCGGCCGCGGGCTCTTGGCCTCTGTCCGTAGAAACCCTCCCTGCCCTATTTCCCAGAGAGCACTTCTCAGGAAAGACATAACAGACCTATGCATATTTTCTACCTATATGTGTATATATATATATCTCTCTCTATCTATATAAATAAATATATATATATATATATATATATCTATCTTTGTATGTATATATATATATATATACATACTTGTCACCCCCCCGCCCCCATATTATGTTTGTACCTACATAATAAGGCTCCGCACTTCGATAGAAACCCCCCAAAAAGGGGCCCTAGCTTCCCTAAACCCTAAACCCCAAACCCTAAACCCTAAACCCCAAACCCCAAACCCTAAACCCTAAACCGAAGAGTTCAAGGGCTGATGGACCACGAGCCCGCTCATGTAGGGAAAAGCGGAAGCCTTGAACCCACGAACTTTCAACTCCTGGAGCATCGAGCACCACCGGATGAGGGTTTAGGGTTTAGGGTTTAGGGTTTAGGGTTTAGGGTTTAGGGTTTAGGGTTTAGGGTCTAGGGTTTAGGGTTTAGGGTTAGTAGTTTTAGGGTCAGGGTTTAGGGTTTAGGGCTTCAAGCAAAGAAACAGGGGCTCCTTGCCGAGGTCAGGCCTCTGGATCGGCAGGCATCACAATCTCCTTATGACCACCTGGGGGCACGCACACGGCTTGTAATTTAGGGGCCTGTATCCTTACAATGTTTTTGTTCTATTTTTTTTGTTTCCGGGGGGGGGGTATTCTGGTATCATTACAACGGGGCCATAAGAGAACATGATTCGAAATTCTTGCGACCCCTAGATTAGGCCATCTTCGGACGGAGTGTTTCCACCAGCTGCCCGCTGCGTCTTACCGGCGGATCCTTTGGAGTGTTGTGTTTTTTCGAACGGCTCCTTTGGATTGATGGGAAACCTCACTCATCCAAATCTGCATGTACATTTTTGATGCGTCTATCTATGTTCACCTTTGTATTTGTATTTACTTGTATGTTTATTTGCATGCTTATTTGAAAATTACTTGTGTGCTTCGACATGTTTGCACAAAAGCTTTGGCTTTGGTGTGGAGGAGATCAAAAGGCTGCTGTGGACGCGTTGTGCAGGCGTTCTGCTACACTTGAAACGCACAGAAACCCTCCTCGTGTCCAGGCCCGGGCCAAGCAGGTTGCTGCTTTGCGAAATGGTCCAACACCAACCCAAGGCTGCCTTTGGGAGCTTTAAGGCCTTTAGGCCCTGTACAGCGAGCCTGAACCTGTACAAACAAGGATGCCCTGAGCCCCCCTTTGCCAGCAAACGGCCTCGACGCTTCGTCGCGTGATGCTGGAGCAGCCAACAGCGGAAGCCATGAGAAAACAGTTGCCCCCGTTGTGTTTGTGTGTTCGCTCGGTTGTCTGTTGGCTTCTGCTGGCTGAGCGGTAGCGCGGCCTGGCCTCGAAGTTGCTATGCCCGGATGCTGTACATCTGAGCAGCACCGCCATTCAAATAGGGTGCTAGGGGGTGTACATGGTGGACACGAGGCGGGACGAAGCTCGAAGCTGCGGGAAGTGTGTCATGTGAAAAAAAGTCACGCATGCCGTTTCTGAACGTCCGGTCCCTGCGAACGTCGGAGTTTCGGAGCTTTGGAGTGCCTGGGGGGGTGTGTGGCTGCCTCTGAACTCTAAGCCCTCAACCCTTAACCCTAACAGCCCTAAACCCGTGCTCGTGCGGCCTTTTCGCCAAGACGCCTGTCGACACTCAGACACACAGGATAAAGGCGTGTCCGTGCAGTGGGCCACGCTGTCAATGGTGCGTTTGCACGACGTGTGCCGGTTGGACGAGCGGGCACCCGCGTAGGGCTTCGGGGAAGAATGGAGGGTTCAGGGTCAACGAGGCATGAGGTTTGTAGGGCTACCCCTAAACCCCAAAACCCTAAACCCAAAAACCCTCACGGGTAGTAGGTTTAGGGACATCGGGCTGAGGTTGGAGGGCTGCTCGGGCTCGGTCCTTTCACCTCGGGGAGCCCACGTTCGGGCTTGTGGGGGTTGGGTCCTGTCCGCCTTCGGCTTGGACACTTCCCGGAATTCCCATCAGCCCAAGCTGAAGGGTCATGGGTTTAGGGTTTAGGGTTTAGGGTTTAGGGTTTAGGGTTTAGGGTTTAGGGTTTAGGGTTTAGGGTTTAGGGTTTAGGGTTTAGGGTTTAGGGTGTCGGGTTTAGGGTGTGAGGTTCAGCGTTTAGGGTTTAGGGGTTAGGGGCTTAGGGCTTAGGAGCTGTAGGGTCTGGCATCTAGTGACGCGCGTCTTCGGGGCATAGGGTCCAGCAAGTTAGGGTCTTGGGCTTTCTGTCACCCTAAACCCTAAACCCTAAACCCTAAACCCTAAACCCTAAACCCTAAACCCTTAGTAGTGTAGGCTGAGGGCCTCGGGCTGATGGCTGTGCCTTGGCCTTGAAACTTCCGCGCCGCAGTCTCCTTGGCGAAGAGATGCCTGGCCTTGCACTTCAGAAGGGGGGTTTAGGGTTTAGGGTTTAGGGTTTAGGGTTTAGGGTTTAGGGTTTAGGGTTTAGGGTTTAGGGTTTAGGGTTTAGGGTTTAGAGTGAGACTCCCAGGGGAGGGGGGGCGGTGCTTGGGGTTGCCGCAAACCCTGAACCCTCAGCCCTAAGCCGTAAACTCTCAGCAGACCTCAACCCTAAAGCCTCAACCCTAAACCCTAAACCCCAAACCCTCAACCCTAAACCCTGAACACCAAACCCTCAACCCTACATTGTCCCATGTTTGTCGGGCCCCTTGTAGGGTCAACTCTGAGCTTCCTCCCAGGATCCTGAGCAGAAACCCTTGCACCGCATCTCTGGGGGCTGTCCCAGCTTGGAAAATCGCGCCCGATGATACGGGCGGAAGGCGAACAAGAGAGAGAGTGACATGGAGGGGTTTCGGAAATTAGGGGGGTGCCTTCTTGGGGTCCTTCTTATAAGGGAATCCTACTGTTTGGTGTTGAAAAGAAGGGTCCCTTTTTTTCGTAAACCCCCACTTGGAGCCCTCCCGTGAATAACCTCACTTCCTCGCCGCTTGGCGGCTCGTCGTTCGCCGGCGGCGCCACTTCCACAAAGGCGGGCTTAAGACTTGCCAGGTATGAGAGCCTCAAGACCCCCATCCCACCCCCAAAGCCCCAAGATTCCCGCGAAGGCCGACACCCAACACCCCCCCATGAACCCTGAACTGCATCCTGAACCCCTTAAGCCCTGCTTAGCGAACCGAAATTTTGCTGCAAGCCCAACGCGAAGCCTAAAACCTAACAACCCTACACTGGCCCCAACCCCCGAGTGAGCTCGCAAGCTCCTTGCCGGGTGGGGATGGTTCTTGGGGTGTTTTTGGGGTGGTTTTCGGGTGTGCTAAAGGTGATTCAGGGTTTAGGGGCTTTTGGGGCGTTTTGGGGTTGTATCGTCCCGGAGCTCAGGTTAGGGGGTTAGGGGCTCCAGGGGTTTAAAACCCTAAACCCCAAAACGCCTCACTCAAAGGCTCCACCGACTCGGACGGTCGTTCGCGAGCGCTGGAAGAGGGGGGCGCGAGCTGGCGCAGTCCACAGGGACCGAAACCCTGAACCCGCCCCTTTAGAGCGGCCTCTTCGTTGTTGGCTTTCCTTGGGAGAGCTTCTGGGAGACTGCGCCAGCGCTTCACGGCCCAAGTTGACACCGTCAGAACGCGAGCAGTTCCGCGGAAGGAGCTGCGCGCCCTGCGATGATGCAGCGCAGTTGTTAAAAGTTGGCCTATCAGCCCTCGCAGCATTCGCTGTTGTTTGCATCCATAAATCCACAATAAAGCCCATAAATTCCAACCCGGCAAGAGGGGTCACAGGACGTACTGCACGTCGCTGAGCTCCTCCTCCGGCATCTCGTTCAAGGCGTTGAGGAAGAGCCTGGCATGGATCACCAGCTCCGCCGAGATGTCTGCGTGCCCGGCCGTGATGGACAGGAGCTGCGAGAGGTTCAGGCAGAGGAGGCTCCTTAGGGCTTTTTGTCTGAGCGCCCTAGTTTTGGGTTTGCTTTCTGGCATTGGGGGTGCAGGGCGTAGGGTCAGTGTTCAGCAACCTCAGAAATCTCAGAATTCGCCCCTCCCCTCAGGGTTGCGGGTTAGGGGTTGAGGAGGCCCGAGCCGCGTGCATGATCCGGCGACGGCCTGGCCAAGGTAGCGCCACTCGGTCCACAGGCACGGCTCGCACAACCAGTGGCCTGAAGGTGAGGGGTTCGGTGCTTCGGCGCTTGAAATCGGAAACCGTGCAAAACCAAATCCAACCCCGATCCAAAGCTCCCGAAAACTTTCCAAAGGCTCTCCGAAGCTTCCACGGAGAAGTTTTCGGAGGATCTTGAAACTTCGTCGCAGCCTCAAGCCCTCCGCAACCCCTTCCCCACCCCCACCCAAGGCCCCCCAAAGCCCTCTTCTGACAAGAAGAAGCCGCCCCCCCCCCCAAACAGACCCGAACGGCCACAAAACCCCAAACCTCTCACCAGCACCCCCCCCCCCCCCCCCCGCAAAAAAAAAAAAAACGGCCCTTTTTCACTGGGCCCGCCTGAGTGGATCCGCAGTGCCTGGTTGTCCATCGCCACCGGCCTCTCCGCCGGGCCCACCGAGTTCCAGGAGGAGCCGTGACGGAGGGTGAAGGTCTTGGCCTGGCCCAAAATCACCCGCTTGGGGTTTTTTGGGGGCTTTAAGGATTTCAAGGGTTTTTTAGGGTTCTTGGGTTGTTCATGTTTTTTTTAAGGGTTTTTGGGGGGATGTTGGGCTTTTTTGAGTTTTGAGGGGGGGGGGGGGGGGGTTTTTGGGGTTTTTAGGGTTTTAGGTTTTTAGGGTTCAGGGGCTTGGGGGTTCGGGGATTAGGGGCTTCAGGGTTATTGAGGTTTAGGGTTGTAGGGGTTTAAGGAGCTCCTACGGGTCTAGGAGTTTAGGAGTGTAGGAGCTTCGGGTTTAGGTTGTGGTTGAGGGGGACGGAGGGCATGCGGCCGCACTGGCTGGACTCCCAACACACCTCCTCAGGCACCCTCGAGCTAGATTCGACAGAAAACACTAGAAACCCCCCAAGCCGTGGCCAGAGGGGCCTTCTGCGGGTGACTGCGCTCCCCGGGCGTCACGATGCCCCGGCGCTTGTAGAGCACCTCGGGTTCAGAATTTTCGGACTCCTCAAACCAACTCAAGGGCCACTCCAGGGTCTGCAGGGTGTTCGGTTTAGGCTTCGGGCTTTCAACCCGAAAACCCGAACCCTAAACCAGGCAGCCAGGCACCGCAGCAACTTGACATAGCACGTAGAACATGCAACTGGCAGTATCCAACAGAGCGACCCAACCAGCAATCCCCCCCCCAAAAAAACACACTCAACAGTCCTGAAAGACAGAGCCATTCTGCAGTGTGTTTAAGAAGTGATGCGTTTCAGGAACATGAAATCCCTCTCGACTTCAGGAAACTGAATGGAGTGGGCACTTTCAGGTTTCAGGTGTCCGGGTCGGAACTGAACCCTCAAGGGTTCAGAGGTCACTTGCGTAAAAGAAAAGGGGGCTTGAAAGAATCGGGCTCCGACATGTTCCGACTGCACGGTTGCCCCCCCCACCCCCCCCCCCTACTCAGGCTCACAAGCACGGTGTAGACTCCAAACAATGGACAGCGTCGCAAGTTGCGCACAGGCGGGATGGCTCTCTCGTATGTGGGGGGGGGGAACGCGCCGCGCCCTCACCAAATCGCTGCAGGACGGTGAAATCTAAAACCACTAGAACCATGGCGTAAGTAAGCCCTGCCACACGACTCAGGAAAAGCCTAAGCCCCAAAACCACCAGCCCAGAAAAGCGGCCAAATCCCTGAAGCAGCCCAGCTGCCATGTTGAAGGCGACAAAAAGCATGTTCTGGCATGCCAGGCCCGCAGAAAACAGGACCTGCAGCTAGTGCTCCACAAAGGGCTTGGGCTGTGGGATCGGGGCTGAGGTCACTGACGTTGCAAGTTACAAGGTTGCGCGAGCTAGGGCGCTCTGGTCTTTCGGATGTGCGACCAGGGTGTGAAGAGGCTTTGCGGCTACGGGGGGACCCCAAACCCCTTAAAATTCGCCTCGGCTTCCTGCCGAGAAGCGTCTGGAACAAGCAGACCCGGATCGGGCCTCCTTCCCCCTAACCCTTCCCCCCCATGCCATTTCTGACGCCACCCCCCGCCCTGTGGGACCCCCCCCAATCCCTTGGAGGAGCTGCAAACCGATGCCGTGGAGGGTCCCGCTTGTCGGTGGCTCCTACAGGGGGAGTGCCTCAAAAACCCCCCCCCCCCCCCCCCCCCCCCCCCCCCCCCCCCCCCCCCCCCCCCCCCCCCCCCCCCCCCCCCCCCCCCCCCCCCCCCCCCACCCGCTGCCCTTCCTCCCTTTTTTTGCGAAACCCTCTTTCCTCCTTTCCTGTCCTGGGGCCGGCCCGGCTGCCGAGGCGGCGCGCGCAAGCGTTTACAATTCGCCTAAGCCGCCTTTGCCGCCTAAGCCGCCTAGACCCTTCATGACCCCCTTGAAGAGGAGATTCGGGAGGGAATCGGGGGCTCCCCGCCTCGTCGGGGGACACCGTCCAATCCTCCAAGCCTCAGGCCAAGAGCCGGTCAAGGGGGTCGTCAGGGGGGTTTGCCAAGGGGGTTGCCAAGGGGGTTGCCAAGGGGGTTGCCAGGGAGTGCCAAGCGAAAACGCAAGCGTTCCCAATCTACTTGGGGCCTGGGATGCTCCGGGACGCCCTGAGATGCCCTGGGGAAAGCGTGCACGCGGCTCCGGCCTTTGACGCAGAGATCGCGCTGAAAGCTTGGGTACTTCAGCATCAGCCCCGCAAGCATCCTCGGTTGCTCTCCAGATGCCCCTAAACCCTAAACCCTAAACCCTAAACCCTAAACCCTAAACCCTAAACCCTAAACCCTAAACCCTAAATAAACCGAGGTGAAAGGGAAAGCAGCTCCCGAGACCCAAGCGTCTGGTGACGGCCAATAACGGCACCTGAGGGTGCTCCGGGATTTTGCAGGGTTTCACGGGAGCGGACCTCGCAAAGACACCCGCATACACCCCTAGATCGAAACCCCCGAAGAAGGGCCCCAGCCCAAGGGACCCCAAACACCAACCTAAACCCTAAACCCTAAACCCTAAACCCTAAGCCCTAAACCCTAAACCCTAGACTCACTGCGCACTCCTGTGCAAGGTGCCCCTGCCTAGGGCCTCGCAGCACAGCTGCCCGTGGAGCAGATCTGGGAGGAGCGTGGCCATCTCTCCTTGGGTTCCCCTGGGTTTTCGGGTTTAGGGTTTAGGGATGTTTAGGGATGTTTAGGGATGCTTAGGGATGCTTAGGGTTTAGGGTTTAACTTCTCAGGCACTTCAGGGGAAGCCCCCCCGAAAAAAGCGCGGTTCGAGGCTCGCTTGTTCGGCAGGGACACTCTCTTGACCGTCTGCTTCAGATAGGCCTTGAGTTGCCTCTCCAGCGCCCAGGACACCGGGAAGGTCTCCAGGAAGTCCTTATCTTGCTGGTTCTTAGTAGGCAAAATCCCCCGAAATATACCCTTTGAGGGCTTACGCAGGGTACCTAACTCCCCCATTCCCTACTAAGAACCAGGGGGTTATTTATAGAACCATTTTCAGGGTTTAGGGTTTAGGGTTTAAGGGTTAGGGTTTAGGGTTTAGGGTTTAGGGTTTAGGGTTTAGGGTTTAGGGTTTAGGGTTTAGGGTTTAGGGTTTAGGGTTTAGGGTTTAGGGTTTAGGGTCCCCTTCCCTAGCATCCCTCAAGGCCCTGCAGAAGCCATGCAAGCGGCTCGCCGTGCAGCTCAAGGCTGCGGCTTGTGCGGGTTTAGGGTTTAGGGTTTAGGGTTTAGGGTTTAGGGTTTAGGGTTTAGGGTTTAGGGTTTAGGGTTTAGGGTTTAGGGTTTAGGGTTTAGGGTTTAGGGTTTAGGGTTTAGGGTAGAGCCTTCAATTGGCGGAAACCTCGGATCCCTAGAACCACGCAAAGAGACCCCCAGCCCTCGAGATTTCCGGAGATCCCCGGTCTGTCGGGCGTCCGACAGCTGGCAGTCGGCCTCCCCTTGCTGCCGCTGCACGCGTCGGATGTCCTTTCTGGTGTTTAAGATTCAGGGTTAGGGTTTCGGGTTTAGGGTTGAGGGTTCAGGGGTTTAGGGTTTAGGGTTTAGGGTTTAGGGTTCAGGGTTTAGGGTTTAGGGTTTAGGGTCAGGCGGTGTAGGGTTTCGTCCTTTGGGGTTTAGGACAGGGGCTAAGAAGGATCCAAGGGCTTGAGGGCTTCAGGGCATTGAATGATGTAATCAGGGCAACGACTGGACTTTGGCCGACGAGCTCTGGGCTCATCCCTCAACCCGGTTTAGGGTTTAGGGTTCAGGGTTTAGGGTTCAGGGTTTAGGGTTTAGGGTTTGGGGTTTAGGGTTTAGGGTTTAGGGTTTTGGGTTTTAGGGTTTAGGGTTTAGGGTTTAGGGTTAGGGTTTAGGGCTTGAACCCTTAGACTTTTGGACCCTAAACACCTCACCTGATCAACCTTACACCCTGAAGCCTTACACCCCAGGCCTTTGAACCCGCCCCTCTCCCAACCCTCTGCAACTGTGGCGGCCCAACAACGTGTGGGGGTTGTAGGGTTCAGGGCTTAGGCTTTAGGCTTTAGGGTTCAGGGGTTACGGGTCAGGGTTGGGTCCGACATGTCGTTGGTGACGATGGACGTGAACATCGAGGCCTTGGCGAGCCGCCGGGCTGGAGGGAGCTTCGGGTTTAGGGATTTAGGGATTTAGGGATTTAGGGATTTAGGGATTTAGGGATTTAGGGATTTAGGGATTTAGGGATTTAGGGATTTAGGGATTAGGGTTTAGGGTTTAGGGTTTAGGGTTTAGGGTTTACGGTTGAAGGCTTCAGGGTTGAGGGCTCAGGGTGTGGAGGGTTAAGGGCCTCGAGGGTTGAGGATGTGGGTCTTCTTTACAAGAAATCGGTGGACACCCCCACCTGCAGGGCCAAGACTGCGTTGAGGGCTGAGGGTTTGGAATCCTTTTGGCCAGACTTGGGGGCGAGTCTTGGGCTTTCGGGAGCAGATGCCTCGCATCCTGGAAGGTAGGACCTTGGCTCCCCTGAAGAGCTCGGGAGCTCCACGGGAGGAAGAGTGGGAGGGAGAAGGAGACAGAGCGAGAGAGAAGAGAGAGAAGAGAGAGATGCCCACAGTCAATCTGCCGAGCAGGGCGAGCGCCGCAATGAGCCGTGGAGCGCGAAACCACCGAAGCACCAAAAACCTCCCCGAAACACAGTGCCCCAAAAAGCCCTCCCAAAAATCACCCCAGGCCTTCAACCCTAAACCCTAAACCCTAAACCCCCTAAACCCTAAACCCTCCCCAAGCAAGCCCTAAAACCGCTCCCGCAAAAAGGCATCCCAGCGGCCGCCAGCAGCGATGTGGCTGTGGCCGTAAGGGCGATGACCCGCTCCAGCTGCGTGGCAAGGAGGACCTGGGTAGGGTTTAAAGTTTAGGGTCTGGGGTTTAGGGTCTTGGGTCTAGGGCCTGAAGGGTGACGTCGGGGAGCTGCCCCTAAACCCTAAACCCTAAACCCTAAACCCTAAACCCTAAACCCTAAGCCCTAAGCCCTAAGCCCTAAACCCTAAACCCTAAACCCTAAACCCTAAACCCTAAACCCTAAACCCTAAAGGGTTGTTTGGGGCGTTTGGGGTACAGAGGCCACCCAAAGGGCGTTGTCCGTGGTCTGCGACGGCGGAATTCGGGAGATGGCCCACTCCTGGATCTGCGCCAGGCTGTGAGATGCAGGGGTTTGGGGGTTTGGGGGTTTGGGACTTGGGGGTTTGGGGGCTTGGGGGCTTGGGGGTTTGGGGGTTTGGGGGTTTGGGGGTTTGGGGGTTTAGGGTTCAGGGTTTAGGGTTCAGGGTTCAGGGTTCAGGGTTTAGGGTTTAGTTAGGGTCCACGAAAGCAGACAGGCAGAGATAACGGAGGTATCAAGAGGAATCCATCCCGACCATCTTGACACAGTGCGGAAGGGCTCAAGAGCCTTCGAGGATCCGCGGGGTTTGAGGGTGTCCGAGTGTTGGGGTTCTGCGCTTCTAAGTCATAAGGTCTCGTCCTTTCGGGCAACCGTTCAAGGTGTTTTGGGGCTGAAAGGCCGCAGCCCTCAGCCTTCCACCCGAAACCGTGGTACCAAACGCGAAAAGCCCGGGGTCCAGGGAGATCCGGTACTGCTCCAGCACGGATCGACCCAGGAGCTCGCCATGGTCGCCACTCGCCGCCCACCCGGCCTGGGTGGTGCGTAGGGCTTGAAAAGCTTCCAAAGCTTGCAAGGGCTTTCAAAGGCTTGGGAAGGCTTGAGGTCTTGGGGTGTAGGGGCGCTTTCAGAATTAGGGGGGGCTGCGGGCTCGTGTTCTTGCTTGATGATCAGGGTTGCCTCCTCCCAGGAAGCCCTACAGCCCTACAACCCTCTCCCTTCGGGAGGTTCCCCCGTATACTAAGAGCTCCTTAAGAGGGATCAGTAGGGGGTACTATACTCCCGATTAAGGACTTTTTGCTCTAAGCATCCCAACCTCCTCCCTTCAACCCTAAAACCCCTTCTTCCCGCAATACCTCTCTAGGCTGTAACGGCAATTGCCCTTCGTTGTAGTATTCATCTTCCTGAAGCAACCCTCCCAAGCCTTGAAACCCTGAACCCCTAAACCTTCTCTTGGGGGCGCAAGGTTTGGGTCTTTCTGCCCTGCGTCCTCCGCCTGCCCGGCCGCAAACCAAGCGCACGTGAGCAGGTGAACGCCGATCATGCCTGCTTGCTTGCAGGGTTCAGGGGCCTGATACCTTCACCCCCCCCTCCCCCCCAAAAAAAAAACGAAGCCCAACGAGATTAGGCAGTAGGGGGGCGACTTCCAGCCCCTAAACCCCAAACCCCAAACCCTAAACCCTAAACCCCAAACCCTAAACCCTAAACCCTAAACCCCAACACCCTTGCGGAGAGCAAAGTCCAAGATGCAGGCCACCAGGGTGTAGAAGATGTTCGCCGCGGCACGGAGCTGCAGCCTCTGAAGCTCACCTTGGCTTGGGTTTAGGGTTTAGGGTTTAGGGTTTAGGGTTTAGGGTTTAGGGTTTAGGGCTTAGGGCTTAGGGCTTAGGGTTTAGGGTTTAGGGTTTAGGGTTTAGGGTTTAGGGCTTAGGGCTTAGGGTTTAGGGTTTAGGGTTTAGGGTTTAGGGTTTAGGGCTTAGGGTTTAGGGTCTAGGGTCTAGGGTTTAGGGTCTTGGGGCTTCAGAGGGGTGAAAGGGCTTTAAGCAGCTTAGGAGCTTCCATCAGTCTCTTGGTTCAATGAATTCTTGGGTTTATGGCTTAGGGTTTCGCGACTGAGGGTTTAGGGGTTTGGGGATTTAGTGGTTGAAGCCCTGAACCCCAAACCCGAACCCTCACCCCACCCGAAAACCGAACGAACGGGTCCCCTGAACCTATGAACCCCTACATAACCCTGCAACCGAGGCCCTAAGACCCCACACCCAAAACCGAAACCCCCCGTGAACTCCAAGCTTTGGCCTCTAAAACCCGAAACCCTAAACCCTCAACCCTCAACCCTAAACCGACCCCTCGAAAACTTGGCACCTCGGCTCCAGCGGATCAGCCACCTGTCAATGCCCCCCCGGGGGCCTACTTGGAGGTTCATGGGGGGGGGGGGGGGGGGGGGGGTGGGGGCACTTGTAAGCCCATGAACCTTCAAGTACATGAGGGTTTCCGAAATTACGGGTATTGGGGTCCTGGTGTTAAATGAATCCTGCTATTTGGCGGACTACATTAGGTCTCTTATGCTCGTAAACTCCCACATTGTTAGGGTTCGGAGGTTCATTTCGAGTTTGGGGTTTCGGGGGGCTTCAGGGTCAGGGTTCAGGGCTGAGGGTCAGGGAGCTTAGGGGAGGGTGTCATTGGGCCAAATGGAGGCGTCTGGGTCTGAGGCTTTGAAACTACAACGCTTCTTGGTGGGGGAGGGCGAGGAGCTGCCTTTGTTCTAAGGCCATACTTCAGAACCCTTTAAAGAAGGTGAGGGACCATATTATGGGACCCTGTGGGTGGTTGTCAAAATGATGGTCCCTTCTTGGATCGCTACTATAATACGGCACCTACGATTTAGGGTACCCCAAAAAGGGATCATAATTTTGACAACTACCCATGTAAGTACCCTTAGACTTTATGAGGGCCGCAACCCCTTTTTCTGATCTTCGGCATCCGCCCTCTCAACTCCCGAAGCACCCACGAGAAAAAGGCGGGCAGGGGAGGGCGGGCGCCTGACCTGACTGCCCTAAACCTCCGCCTGTTGGTGGTTCATGGCTTGGGGTTTAGGGTTAGGCTGTCGGGCTTAGGGTTCTCAATTTTTTCAGGTTCAGGCTTAGGGTTTCCGCTCTCCCCCCCCCGCTCTGCGGTTCGTGGTGGGCTACGCTTCGGGTTTAGGGCTCAATTTTTGGGTTTGCCCTTTGTGGGGTTCGGGGGGGGGGGGGTACCAGAGGGGGGATACCCTGCTGGACAAAGCTCGAGAACGCGGAGACACCCCAAATCTGAGCCTGTCGGAGCACCAAACCTGAACCAACCCCTAAACCCTAAACCCCCTAAGCTTTCCTCCCCTTAGAACCTTAACAAAAACCAAAATCTTCCAAATATTCCCTTGGGTTGAACAGTAAATCAACATACAAAAACAATAATTTTCCTCAGGGTGCCCACTCCCAAGTCCTGGCCTCGGGAGCCCCCCGAGGCCGTAGAAGTTGGTGAAGTAGCGCAGGCGAAGCAGCTCGGGGCCGCGGAAGAGGAACTGCACCTTCGCGGAGAGGCCGCTCTGCACCTTGGATGGCGGGGCTTAGGGGTTTTTGGGGTTTTTGGGTGTAGGGTTCAGGGTTTAGGGGTTCAGGGTTTAGGGTTAGGGTTTAAGGGTTTAGGGTTTAGGGTTTAGGGCTTTAGGGTTTTGAGGGGTTTGTTGGGGATTTAGGGTCGAGGAGGGCTGTTGGGTGGAGAGTAGGTGGCACATCTCCAAGCCACGTCAGGAAACCCAAGCGCAACCCCCACAACCCTCAACCCCAGAAGCTTCAGGAGTTTCGGGAATGAAGCCCTAAACCCCAAACCCGAACCAACCCTAAACCCTAAACCCCAAACCCTAAACCCTAAATCTTAGACCCTAAACCCTAAGCCGAGGCACCAAGGTACAGAAGATGAGGGCGACCAGGACCACCTCCAGCAGTCCCTCGAGGGAGGCCACCGGCCAGCCTTTAAGGCGGAGAGTTGAGGGTTGAGGGTTTAGGGTTTTGGGTTTGGGGTTTAGGGTTTGGGGTTGAGGGTTTAGGGTTGAGTGTTTGGGGTTTAGGTTTTAAACTTTAGGGTTTGGGGTGCAGGGCTTGGGGATGTGAGTTTGGGGGGGCTCAGGGTCTGTTCGGGGGGGGTTGCTCTCAAGGGGCTGCCCCTAAACCCTAAACCCTGAACCCTAAACCCTAAACCCTAAACCCTAAACCCTAAATGAACCCCTGAGCCCTTCTATCAAACGAGCTGCGCCCCAGCAACCAGGGAGCTACTTCCCGCACCCGAAAACTCAACTTCGGCCCGGACCCTCAACCTTAAAGCCCAAACCTATGAAGCTCAAAGTTTTTCCTGTTTAAGGAGTTTTCTTGGGGTTCTGGGGGTTCAGCACATGCCCAGGACCCCCCAAACATCTGAATAAGAAGAGCTCAGGGTCCAAGACCCTCATGCCCAAAGACACCCAAGAACCCCAAACTCCCCAGAATCCCCAGAATCCCTAAACCCTGAACCCTGGAAGCCCCCAGGCCCCAAACCCTACAGATCCCCCCAGGCCCTCAAGCCTCAAGCCTCAACCCTAAACTCTAAACCCCAAACCCTAAATCCTAAACCCTAAAACCCTAAACCCTAATCCCTACCACAATGGCTCCCAGGCGCGGGATCTCACGCAGCCGCCACTCATCCGCCAAATCTTTGGCAGGCTCAGCGTCCAGAAGATGATCCGTACCCTCAGCTCTTCGGAGTTTCCCATGTCCGGGAGGGTTTAGGGTTTACGGTTTAGGGTTTAGGGTTCAGGGTTTAGGGTTTAGGGTTTAGGGTTTAGGCCTTAGGCCTTCGGCTTTAGGCTTTAGGCTTTAGGCTTTAGGCTTTAGGGTTTAGGGTTTAGGGTTTAGGGTTTAGGGTTTAGGGTTTAGGGTTTAGGGTTTAGGGTTTAGGGTTTAGGGTTTAGGGTTTAGGGTTTAGGTAGGGTTCAGGGTTTAGGGTTTAGGGCTTAGGGCTTAGGGCTGAGGGTGACTCTGCAAGGGGGGGAGGCCGCCTGCATCTGCCTGCAAAAGGGCCCGAATCCTAAACCCCGAGCTCTGAACCCAATCCCGCCACCCCGAAACCTTGAACCCCAAGCCTGACAGCCTGAAACCCCTAAGGGCCGCAAGGGCCCCGAACCCAACTAAACCCTAACCCTAAACCCTAAACCCTAAACCCTAAACCCTAAACCCTAAAACCCTAAAACCCTAAACCCTAAACGGTTCCAGGCCCAGGATCAGATCAAAGGCCCAGGGCTCTTGCACCTTGAAAGCCAGCAGCGGGATGGAGACGCAATCCTTTCAAGTTCAGTTCGGGTTTAGGGTATTTAGGGTTTAGGGTTTAGGGATTAGGGTTTAGGGTTTAGGGTTTAGGGTTTAGGGTTTAGGGTTTAGGGTTTAGGGTTTAGGGTTTAGGGTTTAGGGTTTTGGGCTCAGGGCTCGGGGTTCGGAGGGTGCGGAGCTTGAAGACTTCGCAGGTTTAGGCGCGTGCCTCAAGATTGCTTGCGGGTGGCTTCCTTGGGGAGAAGGAAGGAAGGCCCTCAATACCCCCTGAACTCCTACCCCAAGACAACCCCAGAGCCGCAGCCTCAACCCTCCACCCCTAAAGCATGACAACCCTCTACCCTGACAACCCTGAACCCTGAACCCTAAACCCTAAACCCTAAACCCTAAACCCTAAACCCTAAACCCTGAACCCTGAACCCTAAGCCCCTAAGATCGCTTGCCAGGGCTTCGAAGAAGATGAGCCCGGCTGCAGCCAGGGTCCACAGCAGCCGCCAGTCCGGCAACCACCCCGCCGGCTGTCGCCTAACCGCTACCCTCAAAAGAGCCGGCTCAAGATTTGGGGAGTTGGGGTTTGGGGTTGAGGGTTTGGGGTTTAAGGTTTTTGGGCTCAGGTGAGGGTTTCGGGCTTGAGGGTTGCGGACTGAGGGCTTTGAAGTGTTTTGGGGGTGTGTTTACGTACGAGTAGGGTGTTTTTTTGCACTACCAGACACAAGCATACAAAGCGCGGCTCCTAAGGAGGGCCGCAGGCGCAGCTTCTGCACGATCGGGAGCATGGTGGAGTGCGTGGCGGCCTGGGAGCTGCTGTGGGGAGTTTGCGAGAGCAAGGGACCCCTAATATTTTGACCCCCAAAAAGTAGGATTCCCTTATAGTAAGGACCCCAAGAGGGTACCTCGATTTTCGTAAAGCCTCTTGTTGCTTTTCGTAAGGTTTAAAGATGCCTTTAAGGGTGCAGAGGGTCGAATAAGTAAGGGCTCTCGGGCTTGGGCCCAAGCATGTTCAAGCAGTTAGGGGGTTTGGGGATTTAGCCGCTTGAGCCCTACAGGCTTTACCCCTTCAGGCAGCCTGCGAGGGGATCTTGCTCAGCCGCACGGACAGCTGCTCCTTCTGCCTCTTGGCCCAGGCGGGGTGAAGCTGGAAGCAGGCGTCGCCATGTTCCAGGCGAGTGCGCTCGGTGCGCTCGGAGGTCAAGTTCTCGTCACTCGGCGTGATCTGCCGGCTCTGGTGCGACGCCTGGGACGCGAAGGACAGCTTGGACAGCTGTGGGTTGAGCTTCGGCTTCTTCCCCTTTGGGGTCTCCACTTGCACCGCTGAAGGAGGGCTTGGGACCTCGTCCGAGACAGGGGGGATGCCGGGGAGGTTGATGTTGGGCAGCGAGGACCTCCGCACGCCCACCCCAGGCAAGGTCAGCTGCTGTGACCGCTGGGAGTGAAAGGAGCTCCTCCGCGCCTCTCCCTCGGCTTTCTCGGCTTTCTCGGCTTTCCGGCCCTCTCCCTCGGCTTTCTCTTGGGCTGCGAGCAATCCGTGGATCAGCTGCTCAATCTGGTGCATAACCAGCTTGACGCCCTCCTCCATGGCTCCCCCCGCAGCCCGCAGCTCCGGACAGGGGGCTGAAAGCAAAAACTGCAGCGGCGGACTGAGGCTTCACCAAGTGATGCCTACTGATAATTACTCTTTACCCAGCTTGATGCGGTGGAGCTCTCCGCTTGAAGCCTGCAGAGAAAGAGAGAGAGAGAGAGAGAGAGCGAAAAAAAAACAAAAAGATAGATAAATGAAAAACACAATGTGAAAAAAAAGGGGTTGGCGCTTAGCTGACCAAAGCCACGTTCTTGAACTCCAAAGGCTTTTTGGCCCCTTGAATTTTCGAAACCTGCACTTAAAAACCCACGAGCCCCAAAAACCAAAGAGATGAGGAGATCTTCCAAAGAATCTGGTGATGACAGGCTTTGGCAAGGCGCGTAGATCCAGGCAGATTTGATCCATCGTGTATTCTGACGAAACCTGCCTGATCTAGCAGGAGCAGCAACAGCCCAAACCCTAAAATCATGTGGGGGTTTCCGAAATCAGGGGTACCTTATTGGGGTCCTTACTTTAAGGGAAGCCGACTATTTGGGGTCCATATTTAGGGGCCCCTTCTTTTCGCAAACCCCCTCCCCTTTCCACGAGCAGCAGAGAGGAGACGCCTTTCTCGGCCTAGCGGCGCGTTTTGGGACTTGTCAGAACGTCCACCTCTCCTGAGTTTGACCGGGGGCCTTGAAATTTGCCCCACTTTGGTCATGCTATACAAAGTTCCTCTTTGACGCCAACTAGCGTTGACGGCCATGTCTTGTCAAGTCCGGGCAACTTGAGTACAAGTTTAAGCTCAGCAGCTGAAAGGGGGCACGGGGCAAAAAAGAAATCCGCACACGTACAAAACCCCGTAAACCGCAGGATAAGAGACGTCTGGCACCGAGCTTGGAACAATCAAGCTAAAGCGGTTTTCGCCGAGCAGTGCTTGGACCGTAACTCTTCGAGCTCGACCCTCACAAGACTTTCGAAGCCATCGATGGCAGCTCCGAGGGACTTCTCGATCCTGGCCTGCGCCTGCAAAGCGAGTAGGGGCACTCTCCAACTTTTGAGTGTGCATATCCGCCGCCCACCCACACCCCACCCCACCCCCAACAATCACACGCAGACGGAGGCGCACAGAAGCCACATGGATCCCACATGTGCACTAGTGTCGTGTGGTCTGTCTCAGCCTTCATTAACGTGCTACCCGACCTCCTCAGGCATGCCCCTAACGCCTCACTCAATCCCTACTTACCGTCGGCAGTCTCCCCTTGCAAAGAAAGGCCCCTAAACCCTAAACCCTAAACCCTAAACCCTAAACCCTAAACCCTAAACCCTAAACCCTAAACCCTAAACCCTAAACCCTAAACCCTAAACCCTAAACCCTAAACCCTAAACCCTATGCCCGACCTAGCTGGTCGGATGTCAGCTACTTGCGAGCGACGTATGCCACAGGCCCGGATGCAAACTGACCCATCTGGTTGAACCTCATTCTCACACAGCGATACAAAAACCCACGCAGCATGTAAAGCCTAAACCCTAAACCCTAACCCTAAACCCTAAACCCTCAACCCTCAACCCTAAACCCTAAACCGGCACTTCATGTCCAGGAGCCGCCACCCATATTTTGCATGCAGAAAAGCCCTCAACACTCGGTAAGCCTTCGGCCTTGAGACATCAGCCAAGGGTTGAGGGTTTAGAGTTTTGGGTTTCGGGTTTAGGGTTTAGGGATGTTTAGGGTTTCAGGGTTTAGGGTTTAGGGATGTTTAGGGTTCAGGGTTTAGGGTTTAGGGATGTTTAGGGATGTTTAGGGTTTAGGGTTTTGGGTTTAGGGATTCGGGTTTAGGGCTTTCTTCCTTCCGACCCTTGGCGCCTCTCGGAGGTCATTGGCTTGGGGAGGGCCGCAGCACAGCAGCCTTACAAACCAGAGAGTTGGCAGGGTTTAGAGTTTAGGTTGAAGGGTTTAGGGTTTAGGGTTTAGGGTTTAGGGTTTAGGGTTTAGGGTATAGGGTTTAGGGTTTAGGGTTTAGGGTTTAGGGTTTAGGGTTTAGGGTTTAGGGTTTAGGGTTTAGGGTTTAGGGTTTAGGGTTTAGGGTTTAGGGTTTAGGGTTTAGGGTTTAGGGTTTAGGGTTTAGGGTTTCGCGCCTTTTCCCGGGTTGGGTATTGAATTTACGGGGGCGGGTGAGACGTCCGTGCTAGTGTAGTTCTTGCGGTGGACGGCATGCTTGCTGCAAAGGCGGATCTTCGGCCCGCTTATTGCAGGCCGACCAACAAACACCCACCCCGCGCCGTTCATGAGGCGGCCCAACCACCCAAACCTATTCCTTTTAGGGTTTAGGGCCTAAACTTTAACATATACATATATCTTTATAAGAGGATGGAATATTCCCCTTAAACGCTTTTTGTTGGAAAAATGGAGGGGCGCCCAAAACCATCGAATTAATCGCATTTTTAATTACGGGTCCGGCAAATCCTGGGTTTCTGGCTTTTCGGGAGTCTTTTTGAAGCCGTTGGTGGCTTTTAAAGCCTTTTGGTAGCCCTTGAGGGCTTTTTGGGGCTTTCCTGGCCCTTTTGGGGATAAAATGGATGGGCGCCCAAAACCATCGATTTCAGTATTAAAAACAGCATTTTTAATAGCGGGTCTGGCAAATCCTGGGCTTCTGGCTTTTTGGGAGGCTTTTTTGAAGGCAAACTTTCCATTTCAAGTGGGGTCGGAGTTTGAGGCAAGGGGGGGTCTCCAAAGACTATTTTGCCTTCAAAATTGAAAAATGCGACCCCCCCTTGACCAAAACTAGGCTGTGAAAAGGTCGCGGGGGCGGCCCTTCATCAGAATTGAGGGTTAAAAACCCTGAAATATCCTGAAAAACATTGAAAAACCTTGAAAAACACTGAAAAACTCTGAAAAACCTTGAAAAACCGTGAAAAACTTGAATTCTGAAACCGGTGAAGGCTCGGTTTGGTCGAAAATCCAGAAAACCAGAGCCCGCCCAGAACCGTCGATTTCAGTACTAAAAAATCGCATTTTTAGCTGGGACCTGCGCCGATCCTGGGGTCCCCCTTCATTTGGTCTGTTTTTGGAAGCAAACTTTCCCTTTCAAGGGGGGTCGGAGTTTGAGGCAAGGGGGGGTCTCCATTGACCAAAATTAGGCGTTGAAAAGCGCGCGGGGCCTGTCAGGCCTTTTTCGGGGTTTCTTGAAGCCTGTTGGGGCTTGCAAAGCCATTTGGATGCTTTTTGACGCTTTCTAAGCGTTTTTCAAGCCCTCAGGAGCCTTTTGGAGGCTTTTCTAAGCTTCCTGGGACCTGCCCAAAAAAAGCACGTCCAGAAGCTCCGGCTTAGGGTTTAGGGTAATATTTATAATTATAGTATTGTTGGCGTACGCCAAGGGACAGGCCTACTGTCCCTAATGAGAACAGCTACACGCTTGTGGTGCCACGCACGGGCTATTTGTTATGTTCCGTGGTATGCATCATTACCAATTTGGGACAGCAGGTCGCAAAAGTAGCGAGGGGCGCTTTGGCCGCCGCCGCCTGTGGGGCGGCGGCGCTTTGGCCGCAGTTTAGGGTTTAGGGTTTAGGGTTTAGGGTTTAGGGTTTAGGGTTTAGGGTTTAGGGTTTAGGGTTTAGGGTTTAGGGTTTAGGGTTTAGGGTTTAGGGTTTAGGGTTTAGGGTTTAGGGCTTAGGGTTTAGGGTTTAGGGTTTAGGGTTTAGGGTGTGTAGAAGGGAAGCTCGCTGGTGCTAAAAGCACCCGAGCCGCTCGCTTGCGTTAGCATGTAGTCCCACCCCAACCACCCAAACTATTCTCATTTAGGGTTTAGGGTTCACCCCCCAAACCCCCCTCAAGGAGGGTTTTCTTGCTTTTTACAGAGAAAGAGCAGGGTGGGGCCTCCCGAGCTTTGTGGAGCCTGTCAGTGGCTCGTAGGCTTCTTGGAGCTTTCGGGTGCCCAAAACCATCGATTTACGGGTCTGGGCGCCCCAGGCCAGCAAAACGCTAGGGGGAAGCAAGGGGCCTTCCGCGCCTTCACGGCCGAAAAAGGACCAAAAAAACGGTCCGGGAGGCTTGACCCTCCCTCACCGTTCTGTGAAGACGCTCGGTCGGGGACCTCGGTCGAAGCCTCGAGCGCCCATGCATATGGACAGCGGCGCTCTCGGCAGTTTAGGGTTTAGGGTTTTGGGTTTAGGGTTTAGGGTTTAGGGTTTAGGGTTTAGGGTTTAGGGTTAGGATTTGTGGTAAGGTCTTGACGTAAACTCAAAACCATGATCCAGCAATCCAGTAAGACGGCTTTCAGTTCGTATCTGTGGCTTTGGCATTTTCCTGTGGGTTGCGGCGGTTAACCCTAAACCCTAAACCCTAAACCGCTGGACCCGGCTTTGGGAAGGAAAGAGAGCATCGCCTCGTCAACTCTTTTGAACTTGCTTAGGCCTTCAGAGGCCCATTCTTTGAGTTTGCAATTCCACAAGGCCCCGAGCATGACAAAGACCACAACACCTACGGGTTTAGGGTTTAGTGTTTAGGGTTTAGGGTTTAGGGCTTAGGGCTTAGGGCTTAGGGCATAGGGTTTAGGGTTTAGGGTTTAGGGTTTAGGGTTTAGGGTTTAGGATTTAGGGTTTAGGGTTTAGGGTTTAGGGTTTAGGGTTTAGGGTTTAGGGTTTAGGGTTTAGGGTTTAGGGTTTAGGGTTTAGGGTTTAGGGAACATGAATTTGGATTCTATAACCCGCATGGAACCTTGTGGCGGTGCAGCAGCATGGTGGCCTGGCGCGCGCTGAGCTGTTCGAGTCTACGTCTCGGATGGTTCGAGGTTTTGGCTGGAATCCTAGCTGGTGCTTAGGACAACACACCCAACTTGGGATGTGTCCCCTTAGACTAGCAGACCTTAATTAATGGGGATTAAAGTCGCGGGTACTAGAATCCCTATTAAGGACGGGGGAACATCCCAACACCCAACTCCGATTCTGAGCAAACAAACCTGTGGTGCCAACTCTGGCGACGCCCACATGCACGAATCACTTTTCTAGACTCCTGTCAATCACCCTCCAAAAAGCGAGAACTTTCTTGAATATACAGCCTTTGCACAAACAAGCAGATCGGAGCAACAACTGGTGCGACGCAGCCGCAAAGCTGGCTCATGAAGGGTACTCACAACTCTAAAGTCCGTAAGCTTCTGACCATGAAACAACTGCACGTGTCCTTGCGTTCCTTTGCATTGCTCGGGTCGCTTGATTTTAGCATTGTTGAGGCACATGCAGTATCAATACAGAGTATAGCCTGGAGTACAGTCACAAAAAACATGGTCTAGAATCATACACGAAATGAACACAATCACATGACAAAAACACAGTGTGTTGTATCATCGTAGCGGGGCGTCCAGCCTTCCCACGAAGGTGGACGCAGGATGAATGATCTTGTATAGTATGCCACCAGTATGGAAGAGCTACTATACAGATTGCTAGAAAGCGTCTGCTCCTACTTCGGAGGGCGGGCGCTAAAGCACAAACCTAAGAATGCTTGGAAGGAAAAGCCTCATGGAACCCCAAGTGGACATGGCCAAGGTGTGTGTGTGTGTGTGTGTGTGTAACCCGGGGGCGCAGCGGAAAAGGGCCAGCGTGTGTTCAAGAGTGCTCAACTGTGTACCTCAGCTGCACAAGGACATTGTGCGACATCATCGAGCTGAACGCACGGAAGTCTACGAGATCCGGATTATGCAACAAGCTCGTCTCACAGAGATGCCAGGTTGGCAGAGTAGAGCAAACGGCACATTCGACAATTTTTCATCCGTCTGACGATGCAGGTCGAAAGGCTGCAAGATGCTGCAAGTATCGCAAGAAGCAGGTTCAGACTCGACAAGTAGTTCTATAAGTAGTTCAATCACCTTTCTGGCCCTCCCTTGCGAGACCTGGTGCGGAACGTCAATTTTGCTACCTCGACTGTCCGCACGGAACCATATATACATGGTGAAAGCATCGAAGCTCTGGCAGTGCAAACAGTGTAGCTGGCACATGGCGGCACCGCAGCAGCTGCACCGACTAACACTACTACCACGGCATGCCCTTATATGATCTTCCCGTACCACGGCATGCCCTTATATGATCTTCCCGTTGCACTCCCACCCACTGCACGTCCAAGACGTCTGTGACAGGCCACTGGTTGGGCAGTTTGCTTCCAGCTGGAGGTACTTTCGCACACACCTCCAGCTGAACGACTTATGGAGCGATATGGAGCGACTTCAGCACCCAGCTTTGCGCAAACAGAGCACTACTTGAGCTCACGCCTATAGCTCTAAGCTTGGAATGTTCTGACAAGATGCACCAAATGCACCACACTGGGAAGAAGTCGACAGTTGGGTCATGCTACTCGGAAGCAGGCCCGAAGGCTCCAGGGCTCCAGGGCCCTTCAGTTGACTTCCACGGTGTATGCTGCATCACTGGCTTTAGTAAGGTCGGCAGGCAGTTTCAAGACCTTGAACCTCAACTGGGCATCGGTCAGCGTCTGCTGCAAGTCCATCTGGACGCTGGTGTCGACCCCCGTCGCCGTCATGCGGACGAACCGGTTGTGAAGCCCGTTGTGCAAAGCAATGTCTTCTCCGCCTGATTGTGGGAAGTACTTGACGGAAAAGACCTCGCTCCTCCAATCGCTGGGCAAAGCAGCAGCATCTTTCATAGGGCTGCCGGTCATGTCGGAACCATGCATCGTCACAAAGCGGTTCATGGCGGCGCTGTGGAGTGCGATCGTGCCGTTCCCGGCGTCCACCACTCTGAACCGCTCATAATTCCAGTTAGCCGGGAGGCTGGTTGCTGCTGCAGGGCTGCTGGACCCCATATCGGGCTGGGGTAGCATGTTCAAGAACTTTCCGGCTTGGGCATTGTGCAGGGCCACAATATCACCAGGCTCCAAGGACTTCATCCGCACCACGCTGAGACGCTCCCACTTCCAGTCGGTCGGCAGCTGGTTCCAGGCCTTTGGTTCGCTCCGGAGGGCGGTTCCTGCACCCACCGAGAGGAAGCGGTTGTGCACAGTACTGTGCAACGCGATCTCATTGTTGGCAAGCTCGACAACTCGGAAACGTTCCCAAACCCAGTCCGCAGGCAAGTCGGAGGCTGCCCTGACGGGACTCGCATCCACCGCGGTAGGCGACATCCTCAGGAAGCGGTTCCAGTCTGTGTTGTGCAATGCCGCCTCCCCATTCCCGGCATCGATGACCGTGAAGCGCTCCCAAGTCAAATCGTTCACGTTTTGGTTGGTGTCTTGGGTAGCGGAGTCCACACTGCCGGAGTTCAGCCTGACATAGCGGCTGTGGAAGTTGTTCTTCAGGGCGACGCTGGAGCCGGGACTCATCACCGGAGGGGGCACCGCCTTTATGACATTGCTGCTCTCCAAATTGCGCATGGCCCGGCTTTGTCGCGGTCGCCGGCTGGCATGTTCCCCGTGGAGCCAATGATGTCCCCAACCTGGCTGGCCGTGTCAAAAAGTCGAAGCTTCTGAGATTGCGCTCCAAATTCTCCAAATTTGAAGCCCACAATCATGTCTAGATTGGTGCCCTCGAGAACACCTTCAAGGTCAAAGCCCACGAGCCCAGAATTCATGAACTTGAAGAGCCGGTGGTAGTTCGCTCCCGTCGAAGAACTGGCGTCATTCTGCAAGGCACTCATAGCCTTCATGCGCTTCAGCACCTCTTCGCCTCGAAACTCTGAGGTCTGCGTGATGTTCATGTCATCTCCCATCTCCATGGAGGCCAGGTAGAGATCCTCCGCCTGTATGGCCCACTCTGTGTCGTCAGAATCTCTCTGAGGGATGTTCCGTGGATGCGTGGCGCTACGGTTTTCCAGCAAGGCACCCCCCGTCCCGTAGGCCCCCCATCCGTACCCCGGCGTGTTCGGCGGCATCGAGAAGGTAGAATCGGAGGCGCCAGGTGACCTTTTCATCATCTCCAAGCCCCGAGAGTTCATCCAGTCAGGGCGAGGCATTCCGACCGGGAGAAAAGGAGTGCCCACGCTTGCGTCGATATTGCCCGGGACAAAATCTGTGGGAGTCCCGAAGCGCTTGACCAAGCGTGTGGTGACACTAAAGAGCAAAGTGTTAAAGACCTTGAATTGAATAGAGATGGAGCTCAGCTGGAGGCCACCAGGCATGAAGTCCGGCCAGCAGATCGACACGGAGACCGAGCACATGTCCTTGAGGGCCTTGATTGAGATGCCTCCCACAAAGGCAATGACCGGCTGAAACTCTATCCCGAAGCTGACAGTGAGACACTTCTCGACGGGTAGGTTCCAGCCGTAAACAGAATAGCCCTGCCACTTGTCCCATTTGTCCCGCAAAAACTGAGGGCTGCAGGGCACTGCCCATGGCTCAAGCTGAATGAAGCCTTCTGTGTCTGTTGCTTGCCAGTCTGCTTTCGTAGCTTGGTTGTTGCTGCCGGACTTGGTCCTTGGAGCGAAAGCCAAGCACGACATGGTGTCGCCCTCCCTTCCCCCAAACTGGGTGATGAGCTTTGAGCGGTAGCTTTGATCGATTGCGCCGAAGCCGGCCGTGAGCATCCCGTTTGGTGGGGGCGGTTCTTTGGGCGGGTCGCCACTGCCTTCCTGCAGCATAAACACCGCATGTTGCCGATGCACGTGCTGAGCGTGCGTGTGGATCTGAAAACCGTTGGACGAATGATGCAGCACCGGCACAGCGCCCACGGCTGGGAAGTCGGATCCCGCCACGGCCTGGATCAGGGACGTACTTCCCCTTGTGCCTGCCTTCGCCATGCTCGAAGAGATCTTCGCAAAGACCTGGAAGAATTCCACCATGATCTTGTCCA